TACCGCTTTTGGGAATTAACCCTAAGATGCAAAACCCCCAAACCCAAAAAACCTAAAGCCTAAAGCCTAAAGCCTAAAGCCTAAAGCCTAAACCCCAAAACCCCCAAGCCCAAAGCCAAAACCTGACACTCCAAACCCACCGCAGACCTGGAGCAGATTCGTCGTCGTCTCCAGGCTTCTCTTCCAGCGCATCTGAAGGGTCGTGGGAGTTAGGCCCTCAGTCGGTATATTTAGAGTTGAAGGACGTTTTATGTCCATCTATCCACATATACGTATGCATCTAAGGATTTTATGTATACGCATATATGTAAAAACAAATAAGTATATAAATATCAATATCAATAAAAATAAAAATAAAAATATAAATACAAATATAAATATAAATATAAATATCAACAAATAATTAAATATATATATATATATGTGTGGACGGGATCTTTAGGGTCTATTTCGCTTAGGGCCTTTCTTTACAAGATATATTAGCTAATGAAATTCGGGTTTTTCGATATGTTATCTGTTATATAGTATAGAATGCAATATACCATCTAGAATGTGTTATGTATAGTATAGTATATATAATATATAATATATAAGATATAAGATATAAGATATAAGATATAAGATATAAGATATAAGATATAAGATATAAGATATGAGAGATGGATATGAGATATGAGATACAAGATATAAGATATAAAATATAAGATATGAGATATGAGATATGAGATATCATACGGCTATAGGGAGTTTTACATTCCTTGAGCATATATTCACATGTCTATAGGTTATCTATTATATAAGAGGAATTTTCTATACAATCGGCATTTCCTTCCATCTAAACTAAAACTGAGGCTGGAGGCCACGGCGATTAAATGCGGTTGGGGAAGGAGAAAATATAAGCCGGTAGTAAGAATTTTGATCTTAGAGCGTACGGGTTTAAGTTTCAGGGCTTCGGAAATAAGGTTAAGGGTTTGCAAGCCATTGCCCGATTGTGAAGGACCATCTCATACTTCAATCTCACCCACGCTGTCCCAGACGGCAAAACCACTGTAGCCTGTTCCTTTTCGGGTTTAGGCATAAACTCAGGCACGCTGCCTATATCTTCGTTCCAGGCGATCAGGCGCTTTTTTGGCCATCATGTCGATATTAGCATGAGGTTGTCTGTGCGAATGCATACCAATATGATGTTGAGAGACTTATCAGATGACACTGCAGTGCAGACAAGCTCAAGTCTCTGGCAAAGCCAATTGCCTCAATCATCGGACGGGTGTCACACGATTTTCTATCAACATCATCAGAAATGAGGCGGCGACAATCTCCGGCATTTGCGATGCCTCAACATCTCACATACGACATACGGCAGGGCTCCTCAGCACTATGGTCATGCTATCTTCCGGCTGCTGAGACGGCTGAAAGACAGACAACAGACCTTCGTTGAGACAGCTCGTGAGCCTATGCAGAGCCCTTCGCGCCCGCCCTAGTTCGGGGCCCCAACCCCGAACCCACAAGCCTTGAGCATCCTGGGCCCCCCTTTCCTAATGCTGTTGTACGAGCTACATTGCGCAAATCTCATGCTGCAGCTTCTCGGCTTTCTCTTCACACACAGGGCACGGGGCCAGCCTTCTACTACGACAAACAATTTTTAGAAGCACAAACCAACTGCTTTTTCGACTGGCCCTTGCCTTGAGCAGTCGGGCAGCTGTCTGAATGCAGAGTTGACATGCAAACTGCGCTGTCCGCAATAGTAAGCACCGCAGGCCCAAACACCAAAAACACGGAAACCACCGAATTACCGAAAGCTCATATGCCGTCAAATATGGCCGCAGCCTCCTCGACCCCGAACCCTTAGGTGAGGGAGGCTGCGGCGCGCGTAACCCAAAAGAGTTCTAGGGGGCACGGCCCAACCAAGCTGGAGCGAAAGATGATGTGGCGCCCTTCGCGATCTCCAAGTGACCCCCTCCTACGGAATCCTAGGGCCTTGGGGCAACCCGTGGGATCTTGTTGGCTTGCTTCGCCTGAAACCAGTCATAGCAGGACCTTCACATTTTTGGAACTGGCCAGAGGGCGCACCAAGCGCTGCCGCAACAAAGATTGTTGCAAGAAAGCAGCGCAAAACCCCAACTTAGACAAAGCTGCCCTTCCCTAATGATCTTCCGGGACCACAGAGTGAGTGTTGGGGAAGTTTTCCCGGCATCTTCAATCTTCAATCTTCAATCTTCAGTCCGGAATTTTGCGGAAAAAAACCCGGAAAACTTTCCGGACGTTTTCCAGTTTATCTCAAACCGAAAAAACAAGATAATTTAGTTAATCTCTATATTTCTTGGAAAATCCTGTATGTATCTCGCTCTCATGTGTCATATATACAAGTATAGGTGTGTGAGTAGTGGCACCCCCCCCCTGGCCCCTCAAACCCACAAGTTTAATAGAAGGCCTCAAAGAAGGTAGGTATGGGGGGAGGGGGGCACCACATATATGTATATATGTATATATATATATAACAAAAGCATAACGCTATGGAAGGTTCTCGACATGTGGCGACTTTTTTTGAAGCGGTTCCTTCCTCATTATTCGTAGAGGGTGCCAAAAACAGGGGCCAGAAGGCAACTTGGCCATCAGAAGGTCACGTTCCGGGTCTTGAATCGTGCGGTCCCTGAGATTGACACTTTCATTCAACCCCAAAACAAGCCAAACACTCTGATAGACACGCATGACCCAAGCCCAAGCATCCGAAGAACATGAACCAGAAGCCCTTAAAACCCCATCCCAAACCAAAACCTGTCCTTATGACTTGTGGGTCAACGCGCTGCGCATTGCCTGGTCGTTGCTCTGTTTTCAAACGTTTTCCTTCGTTTCTTTCGGGTTTTCCTTCGGTTTGGGGGTGGGGGGTTGGGGGTGGGGGGGGATAAGAACGTCAAGCGATTTCGCCTCTTTGTACAACATACTGCACAAGGATGTGGAACAAGAAAATCTGCCAGAAGCGTCCATGCCTGTCGCGACCATGCCCAAACCACTGGTATTTACAGCGTTTTATGCCCAAAACATTGGTATTGACGGCGTTCTCGCCTCTTTGTACAACATACTGCACAAGGATGTGGAGCAAGAAAATGTGCCAGAAGCGTCCATGCCTTTCGCGATCATGCCCAAAACGCTGGTACTTACAGTGTTTTGTCTCAAAACATTGGCATTTACACCGTTTTCGCCTCTTCGTACACCATACTGCGCAAGGATGTGGAACAAGAAAACCTGTCACAAGCGTTTACCTTGCACTAGAAAATCCCACACATGCTGTCCCAAAAAGAATAGCTTCACTAAGAAATCCCATTCATGCTGTCCCAAAAAGAATAGTTTTTGGAACCCCCTAAACACAGCTTTTCTGCTCCGTACCACGCCTGCCAGTACGAACGACGCGGCGTACCGTACCCAGGCCAAATACAGAGCGCTAACTGACTTGTGCCATGGGCGTGTTCCCAAAATAGGGGCCCCTTGCGTGCCCGTCCGTACTATAGGAACCCCCAGGAACGGACCCCAACTTTCAGAAAATCCAGGAATCTCCAGTCTCATAATCTACGGTCTCATTCCGCTACAGACTCTGCATGTCACAACGCAACCTCAACTACTGATTCTGATTTAAACAGCCCCCCCCCCCCCCGCCCCTCCCGATTATAGGGTTTAGGGTTTAGGGTCAATGAAGCTTGAGCCTACCTTAGGCACTCACAACCTACCCGAATGATCCTCGATGAGTGTCTACGGCAGACACTGACCTCCAAACGCGGTCTCGGACTCTTGATTTAGGGCTTGGGCCGGATTTAGGGGCTCAACCCTGACACGCCAGTCCATGAGCCCTGGGCTTATGGGTTGCTGAGGAGCCGAAATTCGGATACAACAATGTGAAAGTCACATTCTCCCTTTTCTCCTCATAGTGGCAAACGAGTGTCAACCCAGCTGTAGGAGGGAATCGGTGGATGGCAGGGCTTTCGGCTTCGAGGGTTTCGGGCTTAGAAACCTAAACCCGGAACCAACTACAAGGGAAAAAATCAACCCCCCCCAAACTACAAGGGAAAAAAGGCAACAGCACCGCATTGCCTTCGCGCTGATCTTGAGGAAGGTGGCCCTCATCGCTGGGCGGTGCCACCAGGCCGGTCTGACGGGAATCTCGACATGAGGGTTGCGGTTTAGGGTTCGGGGTTCAAGGGTTAAGGGTTAAGGGTTTAGGGTTTAGGGTTTAGGGTTTAGGGTTTAGGGCTACGGGGAAGAGTACGTGACATGTTGTGTGTGTTTCACCTAAGCCTCGGCCAGACCTTGCAGCACACCAAAAACAAACCGGAGAAGCCCCTAAACCCAAAACCTTGGTCTTTCAAGGTGTCTGGAACCTCCACGCGAACCTTAACCCTAAACCCCAGACCCTCAACCCTCAAAATTTGCAGCCAGGATGCCAGCGACCGGCCCTCACAGCGCCTTTCCAGAAGCTGGCGATAGTATGCCACTGCCTGTGCGCCCAGGCCCCTAGGATTTATAGGGCTTCTAGGCTTTTCGGGTTCTAGGGCTAGGTTTATTATAGGGGTTCTCGGCTGCATTGTGCGGGTCAAGAAGGGGCAAGAATTCATCCCTACAGCATTTTGGTTAATTGCAACGGCTAATCGCAAACATATTACAGCACTGTAGTCATAATTCTCAGAATCTTAGTTCCCAGTAGCAATAATGCTTCTTCAAAAATCTGTTTCAAGAACACCAGACCCAAGCATCGTCCCGATCCGCTGAAGCCAGAGCATTGGGTCATGGGTCTGCACTTGGAACCCAAAGCCTTACCCCTAACCGTCTTGAGAGTTTATCCAAGTGCCAAGCCCTAGCGAAACTGCAAAAAGAGTAAGTTTTGGGGGTCGAAATAACATGGGGGTCGGAAAATAGCATCTCCTCATGTCCCTAAAGAATAATGCTATAATGACCCCCCCCCCCAAAACCCTATTCTAATTATTCAGGCTCCTCTATTGCTCAGCAAAGAACTACAGCGCCTTGGAGTTGTAGCGCGCGAAGAGGGCCGCCGACTCTGAGGGTCGCCGCGGAGCTTCGGGTAGCCCTCGAGGAACGTGCGGAGGCGGCTGCTGCCTGGGAGCTCTTTCGCTCGAGGCTTCGGGATGGAGGGTTCTGAGGTGTATCTATGTGTATATCTATCTATGTATATATATATATATACTTGCATACAATATTCACGTATGGATGTACACATGTTGCACATGTATGTCCACATGCTTGAAATATGTGAAGTCTCCACAGTTGACGCTTCTGTTGATTTGGTCTCGATGTTCGAAGCACCCAAGAACATCCTAAACAGCCTCTGTGTAGAATCAATGCTAAGCTAAGCTGAGAATAAGGTTTAGGGTTTAGGGTAGCTTTCCCAGTATCCTCCCCCCACAGAGTTTCGGGCTGGAACCCTAAACCCTGAGCCTCAACTAGAGTTGAGGAGTTTAAGGCTTTCAGGTTCGGCGTTTTCGGCTTAATGGATTTAGGGGGTACTAGGAATTTAGGGGGGGGGGGGGGGGGGGGCGGTACGGGGCTACAAGGCTCTGAAGCGATCCCAAGGGCCCCCCAGCTGCATGCGCCGAAGTTGGGCTGGGCTCCAGAGGTCCATCGTCGTGCTGCGCACGAAGCCTTTGATGTTCACCCTTTTTCTAAGAGTCCTTAATAGGGATTATACTAGGAGGTACTATTCTGACTATTCTCTCTACTAAGCACTGCTAGTAAAAGGGGGAACGTCCCAAGCTGTAGGATTTACGGTGGTTGCAAAGCATTTTGGCAATAACTGCTAAGTCCTTTACATCTATTTGAGAAATGGGGTTTATAGGGTTTAGGGTTCAGATGTTTCGCGGTTGCGTTAAGGTTCGGGGGTTTAGCTGTGCGACTACCTCGCGGAGGCGGGATGTAAGGTTCCGATTGGGGTTTATGGCTTCATGGCTGCAGATAAGCTCCAAAACGCTAAAAACTCGCAGACAGCCATAGCCTCTGTCTTCGCTCTCCGTTTGTGTATGACCACAACAACATCAACACCCTGTCCCTGACCTCGGGATACAAAACCCTAAGCCTCAAGCCTACACCCCTGCAGTTGCCCTTCGCCATAAGAACACGAAGAACCTAAGCCTGAAACCCTAAGCCCTAAAGCTTAATATAGGGGCCTGAAGCATTTTTTTTATAAGGTTTTTGGGGGTTGTCATAGTATACTTATAAAGGGACCGTAAGGGAATAGTATTAGTAATTATTCCGACCCCTATCTTAGGCTTTAGGGAACCGGCCCTTTCAGCTGCGGCGCTCAGGTGCACGCCAAGGCCCCTATGGCGTCCTGGCGCAAGAAAGAATCGAAGAGCTGGGGATAGGGTGTTGAGGGATTAGGGTTTAGAGGGCTTTTCATTTGGGGGCCTTAATAATCAGAATAGGGTTTTGGTCACAGGGACCATAAGGAAATACTATGAGTAATTATTCCGACCCCTATATTCTGCGCATTCTACAAGTCCAGTGGCCCCAGCTTTGGGTCACATGTGCCTCCCTGCCTGCGCAGTCGACGCAAAGGTAGGCGCCGCAGGAGACGCTGGCCCAATCCTCGGGAGAGGGGCGGAAGAGAAACCTCGAAACCTCGGAATCTCAAACTCTGAGCCCTACACCCAAAAACCCTAAACCCTAAATTTCCTGATGAAACCAAAACCATCAGCCCTAGAACACATAAACCCTGAACCCCGAGACCCCCAACTCCTGAAGCGAAAATCACGCCAGTCTCTCTCTGCATGGGTTGGGGGCATATAGAGTTTCGGGTTTAGGGTGCCAAGTCTCGGAGAAACCTTGGGACCTGCAACCTTCACCTGACTACGATGGGTTTAGGGTTTAGGGTTTAGGGTTTAGGGGAACAAAGACTCCCAAGACTTCTGCAGCTTTCAGGGACGGCATCCGGCAGCTTGCAGTCAATGCAGCTTTGTGAAGACACTGCCTTGGTCGTTGGAGCTTAATCAGGAGTCTTGCGCACCTGAGGGTTACATTCGGGGAGTCAGGGTTTAGGGTTTAGGGTTTAGGGTTTAGGGTTTAGGGTTTAGGGGTTCAGGTTTGGGGCTTTAGGCTGTAGGGTTTATGGGATGAAGGCATGTAGTTCGGAACGGCCTGCGGTTGATATCAGTTCTGGGCCCCTGGCTGGGCCTCGATGATAGCCTACTTGCTAACCACGACAAGGAGGAGATGCAAGCAGTCAGCGTACTGCTGGGCTGATGAGTCATGAGCTTTGAGCCCTAAACCCTAAACCGCAAACCCTAAACCCTAAACCCTAACCCTAAACCCTAAACCCTAAACCCTAAACCCTACACCCAATATTTGGTTGGTGCTTTGCCTCCGCGAAGAAAGCCGCGGCATCCTCAGGAGGAGGGAGCTGCAGAAGCTCCTCGCGAATTGCACTTTTAAAGGCGTTTGGGGCTTAGGGTTTGGGCTTCAGATTCTTGCAAGCTCTACAAACTCATCAGTCTGAAGACGAAAAGACAGGTTTCAGGAGATGAAGCCCTGAACCCTCGAATCAACGTCGCCCTGAACACCTGCAACCCTAAACACCTTAAACCCGAGACCCTAACCCTAAACCCTAAACCCTAAACCCCAAACCCTAAACCCAAAACCCAAAACCCAAAACCCAAAACCAACTCTCTTTCAATTGATGCCTCCAGTGGCTGCACGGGGCACTCGACAAGCTCGGCTGGCCGCGGCTGAGCGTTGCTGTCTTCCTGGCTCTGCCCCACAGTTACTAGCGTAACATAGGGGCCTTCATGGTTAGAATAGGGTTTGGGCGGCTATAACTTCATGGGGACCAGAAGGTTCCATTTAAAAGCAAGCTATTGCGACGCCTTCATTAGAAAAGAGCAGTGGAAGTTCCTTGGGCATGTGTACCTTCTGTCCTGCACATGGCCAGGTAAACCCTCAACGCTGTGGTAGCTCTTCAGTATGTTGGAAGAGGAGCTGAGTGCAAGCGGGGCCGGGGTGTGTTCCCAAAACCCCTAAAACCCGCCCTAAAGCCCTAGATGTGCATACGATGTCTTGTTGCATCCGGACGATAGCATTGATCCAATGTTCCCCCAAAAACTCGCCGAAACTCCTAGCCTGAAGCTGTAGCTCGAGCAACTCATGCCTCAACGGATTCTTGGACAGTGATTCCTAAACCCTAATTCCTAGTTCCTAATCCCTCCTGGGAGAATGGCCTACTGGGGTTCTTGGTACAGGACTAGGTACCTTATATCCCCCTATATGGACCCTTTGTGGGGTAACTGAACCCTAAACCCTAAACCTATGAAACCTACACCCTAAACCCTACTGAGAACCCGCAAGACAGTTGCCGAGTTTGGCCGTGTGACCCCCTTGCACAAAGGCAGTGCTCGTTGGAGCACTTCCTGGCTGGATGCACTCACTGTGTCGGTTTGGGTCAAGGGTTTAGGGACCGCTCAGGCATGGAATATCTACTTGAATTCGAGTACCCCTACACGTAGAGTGAGTTTGTGAAGCACGCGCATGCGCATAAATAGGAAGGATGCTGAAATATGTCTAAGCGGGGAATGTCGCTCTGGGAACTTGCGGGATGGTAGAAGCATCACCGACGCGCGGGTAGTTTTCTACATGAGGGTCCTTTGCTTTTGTCCCCTACACTGAAAACGAAGGACCCCAAAAAAGTACCCTCACTTAGAGAAACACCGATGTAACTCTTGCAAAGTTGAGCCCCTTGCTGTCAAGTTCAACAGAATGGCAAAGAACCCGACTGCTGCACTCAAGGGACATGAGTTTTTCACAATCTCACAGGTGCGGTTTTGGGACTCATCTTCAAGTTCTAAGTTCCCCGATCAGCAGGCCCCACCCTAGACAACGCCGTGCAGCGGACGAACTCCCGAACAAACAGCCCCAACAAAAACTGCACCCTCTGCTGCCTGCGCTTCCTGCCAAGCCTTCTCCACCTTGCACTGGCTTGGGATATCACGCTGGAGGGCTCGAAAGCTCTTAACGCTAGGACCGCGCGCTATGCTCGCGCATATGTAAATGTGGTCGGAGGGCCCAAGCCCTGTAGCCCAAACCTGTGTGCGTCTCGTAGTGCGAAGCCTTGGACATAAGCGAGAGAGCTAAGCAGTGCTTATGTTTGGCGTGAGATCTAGAAGGGAGACCCCCGCAATCTTGGGATATGAGGGATCGCTCTGGCTTCTAAACCCTAAGCCTAAACCCTAAACTCTAAACCCCTCACTTTTCCCTTTTAAACCCAGAAGCCAGGCCATTAAGGGATCAGTCTGGGAGCGTGTATTGCAGGGAGTCTCCGACGGAGATCCCGGCGATTTACAGGAGACCGGAGGGGAATACTACTACTGCCGTATGGTCCCTTTAGAAATTGACTATAATAACCCCCTACCCTAAACCCTAAACCCTAAACCCTAAACCCTAAACCCTAAACCCTAAACCCTAAACCCTAAACCCTAAACCCTAAACCCTGAACCCTGAACCCTGAACCCTGAACCCTGAACCCTAAACCCTTTCCAATTATTAAGGCCTCTGTATTAGCTGAGCTAAGGCTGGGCTTGGGTTCGGTCCTAGGGTCTGGAGGGTCTAGGGTCGAAACAAAGAACAAGCTGCTTAAGAACCACCCAAAATGAAAGAAATAATGCCCGTATATTGCCCTTGCAAGGAAGAATATCGCTATTTTGGATGAATCCAAGTAGTAGAAATCTGAACCCTAAAGCCTAACCTCTGGGATGTTCTCCGTTATACTAGTCCTTAAATAGGCATTAGAGTACTACCCCCCTACGATCATCCTAATTAAAAGACTCTTAGTATAAGGGGGCCGAAATCCATGCCTTGGCAGCTTGTCGTGAGCTCTCTGTGCCAGCGATCGCCTCGATTCGAATTCGTTCCTGGCCTCAGTTTAGGGTTTAGGGTTTAGGGTTTAGGGTTTAGGGTTTAGGGTTTAGGGTAAGGACAGGTGTTTGCAGGTTTCGGGCTTGGCAGGTCAGGGTTTGAGGGACTAGGGGTTTAGGAGATATAGCCATAGAAGTGGGTTTAGGAGTAATTAAAAAAGCGCTTCAGGGGTTTAGGGGTTCAGTGGAGACAGATCTTAATGAATGGGCACCTTTGGACCACTAGAACCGAAAATTACTTCCTGTTTAGGTGCCTTCAGAGCGGAGCGCAACACCGCAGCTCCTTTAGTACTATTATTATTAGGGCAAGAACGGGGATTCTCTTGACACTTACCTTTTCCTTGAGTCCTTTCACCCCTATAAACAAGCCTCGCGAATCCATCCCACCTGTCAGTCTTGCCCATGAATCCGCCCTTGAGACCCTAACTCTCATATCTTGGTCTAACCGTTCACACCCTTGGAATCGCATGCCAGGTTAACCGCTCTCTCCCTGTCACACCTTGAGACCCTAACTCTCATATCTTGATTTGTAGTCATCCATGACCTCTCGTGGTCCGCCACACGCTGACGGGCCTGACACAGTACACGTTTGCATTGCGCGCCGCGCCGAAGCTGGCCTAGCGGATGCCGTGGTCTTGACCCTGGCCCTCACATCTGCAATCGCCGAACCCCCTTTGCATGTTCCCAACACGCGCGTACCTGCACAAACACAGGTCTCAAGCTCGGAAAACTTGATGAGCAATTTCGGCACCGGCCGCAGACATTGCTTCTCGCGCAACGACTTTCAAAAATCACATGCGCTGCCGCAGTTCAAGAAGCTTGCGCGACTCTTGCGTGAAGTTCAACATTTGGGCGGTGAAACTTGCGTCCATGGTCTCGGTGGAGTGATCTGACTTGGAGTAGCTTTCAGAGTGATCCGGCTCGGAGTAGGTCTCAATGTCCTCTGACGTGTTGTCATCCTCGGTCTCGGAGGCTTCGCTGTCGACGCCGGGCTGCAACTGCTCCTGGCTAGGATCGCCACCGACCGGAAGCCAGTCAGTGTGGCGAATCTTGCCGACGTGGAACAAATTGTCAAGGACCAAGCTGACGCGGATGATGCTCCCGCCGTGACCGTGAAGCCCAGCAAGGAACCAGCTGATGCGGATGATGCTCCGTTGTGGCCCCGTGAAGCGCAGCAAGGACCCAGCTGATGCGGATGATGCTCCCCTCCTGGCCATGCTGATGCGGATGATGCTCCGTTGTGGCCCCGTGAAGCCCAGCAAGCACCCAGCTGATGCTGATGATGGCGCAGCAAGGACCATGTGCAGCTGATGCCGAGGATGCTCCCCGTGGCCCCGTGAGAGAAGCCCAGCAATAAGTCAAATTTAAATGTTGTATGTCATGTATAACATATTGAAAAATCGGCGATCTTTTGTCGTCTGGCACGAGGACAGATGTTTGATGGAACCCTATGATAAAAACTTCGTGAAGCATTCTTTGTATTGACGATTACATCTGAAAGCATGAGTAATAATCCAGTAAGATACTATAATGCTCAGAACTAACAAAAGAACAATGATTCAAGACATTCGTAGAGCATTTAGTTATTGTTTTTTTTGAACACTTCACATAAATATGTAGCCAATATAGCTAGTGCAATTTGTACAGTAACTATCATGAGTATCGTTAATGCAATTAATGTAGTTAAACAACACCTATGTGAGCTGACATGAGTGCATGTGCATCTGTGCTCAGTGATAGTACTTTTGCAACCGTAGCTCATGTTTCTGCATGATGTCTATCAATTCGAACGCCAACAATTTGGCTCAAGCGCCTTGTGTCGAATTAAGCGTGACTTTCGCACACGATAGTACCGCAGGAGTAGCTTAAATGTCATGCAGCCCAAACCCTAAACGGTAACTCCCAAACCTTAAAGCCGATGGAGGGTACTACAGGCCGCAGCTCCAGACGCCTTCAGATACTCCCAGGTAAGGCGAGTCACGCACGTAGCCGGCGCAGGTGCGCCGAAGGTCCAGTCGCCTCGTCTCAGGGTTCAGGGCTTGGGGCTTAGAATAACCCCGAGCCCTCAACACTCCGAGAGAATCTGCAGCCAAAACCCGCTATTCTAGACGAAGCATTGCTGACTTTCGGGGCTCGGCAAAGGCTCGGGAAGGTCTGACGCTCCGGTCTCATTGCTCGACGGCTTTGCAAACTCCAGGGTTTCGTTGGCTCTGAAAATTCTGTGGGTGTGAGGTCAGAGAGACCGAGGAGCCCAGACTCACAACAGCTGCCTCCACATGACCGCACCTTCATGCACAGAGACTCTTGCGCGCGCATGATGAAGTCAGCGTAGGTGGGAAAACGTCCCGTGCAAACGCCCAAACCCACATGTTCTCCCAAACATCCTCCAGACCTGGAAAGCCATAGACGAAAAAAACTACAGTACCTTACCCTAAACAACCCCCTAAACCTTAAACCCTAAACCCTAAAAAGCCCCCTCAGTCTGCTGGTCACAGCACTGGTGGCTGTCTCCGAATGATGGGCCCTTACTTAGGGCCTTGGGGTCTCTAAATAATTCCTTGGGCAGCTTTGGAGGGGCAGCAAAACGGGCCTTGAAATTCAGAACCTTAAGCCCCATACCCTCAGAATCCTCGGAGAGCCTGAGAGGCCCTTTAAGGTTTGGGGTTTAGGGTTTCGGGATAAGCTGACTCCTACACCACTAGATCTCTAGGGGCTTTCGGCCTCCGTCGCAGCTGCGTTGCGAGTTCATCACTGCGCCTCTGCTCCTTGCTCTTTGTTGGGCTTAGGGTTGGCAAAAGCGTTCGTTTTAAGGTTTCCGGCAGTTTTCGGGGGTTGCAGCGGCTGTGTATAGATTTAGGCCGTGTCCCCAAGTCAGCGATGTGTCCCAAGAGTCCCATTATAGAACCCCAAGCTATGAGGAACATGGTCCATAGGGGGCAACCCCAAAACCCGACAAGTTCGATCAGCCTCCTCCACCGCAACTCAACCCTAAATCCCCGAAAGCGCCCTGTAGCTTACGCAATCGGTTCTCGGCAGGCGACGCTGTGCCAGGGTCGTACGAAGATCCACGACCTAGCTATAGTAGCCCTGTACAGTGATCAGTGTACGAACTCTGGAAGTTTCCCAATTCCCATTATCATGTTTTGGAGTAGATAGAATATTTCCCCGACTTTGGGCAATGCCCATAACGACTATTTGAGAGGGCCGAAGGCCGTCCTCCCCGGAGACGATGTCTCGGGCCGTGTGGGCGCATGCTTTGCACGCCACTGCCCTCAGCCTGCCAAAGTCATCTGGTCAGACTTATACTCCCCGTTTTGGGAACATACAGACAACAATGTGCTCTTGGGACTCACCAGCCGAAAGGAAAAACAATGAACGCACATCCTCAGTGTAAGATGATCCTTGTCCATGTTTTGCCCTACCACGGTGGTTTGCACGAATTGCGCGGGCAAGTACACCTTGAAGGGAAGAATCCAAAACGCCCAGGAACATGGCCTCCTGAACCAAGAAGCCAGAAGCCCTAAGCCAGAGCCTTAAACCCTAAACCCTAAACCCCTAACCGGGGTGCTTTTCGTCGGCCAGCTGCCGCTGGAGGCAAAAGGCGCCAGCAATCTTTTCCTGCAGCACATGGTGCGTTTGCGAGCCGAAGCCTCCAGCACCCCCATGAACCCTAAACCTTAAGCCCTAAACCCTAAACCCTAAACCCTAAACCCTACCCATGGTAAGGTTTCCCGTTGGAAGCTGTGAAGGTTCGAAGCAACACATTAGATTCGAGCGTTTCGCGATATGCGAGGTGCAGTTTTGGCCCAAACGGTGGAGGTAAGACTTAAGAGGAAGCTGTTTCGGGCCTCTCTGGGGCTTCAGAGGGCATCCAATAACCTTCCGGGTTGGAGGGACTGCTGGCCCGAGCCATGAAGCTTAATATGGTTAAACAGTTGGAGATCACAAAAGTCTTTGGGGATACGCCACAATATCTGCACTAGGCAGACAGAGGAAGATATATCAGCACCGCACCGTCTGCCATGTCTACTGCGCCAACAAGACTGCTGTTTCTATTGCCAATGACAATCTTGCACAAGCTTGTTGCTTCTCTCCCTCTCTGCTTCCGCTTCTGGATCTCTCTCTCTCTCTCTCATTCTCTCATAGCTAAATTTAACTCAATTGCAACCCTAAACCCGACACCCAGAGATGTTTGGACCTCGAAGTGCTTCGTCGTGTCTCGGAGCTGGTTTTCCAGCTCGCGTGACCTGCGATCTTTCGCTTCGGGTGCCTTGGGAGTAGATAGGGCTTTGGGGGGAGTCAAATTGGATCCAACGCAAGGTCCCAGAAGTCGCCCCTTGTGCCCTAAACCCTCCATCCCTAACCCCAAACCCTCAGCCCTATACCTCAAAACCCTAAACCCCGAAACCTGCACCCTAAACCCCAAACCCTAAACCCTAAACCCCAAACCCTGAATCCTAAACCCGCTGAGAGACCGCGCGGTGCCTCTTCTCACAGGATGCAGTGGACTCCTGGCCAACACGATCCAGCTTAGGCCACCCTTCAAACTTCAGACCCTAAGCCCTAAATCCTAAACCACAAAATCCTAAACCCTAAACCCCTAAACCCCCAAACCCCAAAACCCTCAACCCTAGGCCATCTTCGGAGTTGTCGAGGGTTTTCGGGACCTCCCAAAACCTTGTTGGAGACCGAAAACGAAACCGGAAGCCCTCTTGAAACGACATGCAAATGTCGATCCCGGACTGCCTTTGGGTTTAGGGATGAGGGTTTAGGGTTTAGGGACATTAGGGTTTAGGGTTTATTTGGGGTTTAGGGTTTCGGGCTTCGTGCTCACGGCTAAGGGTGCCGAACCTCCCTTTATCAAACCCAAACCTGACTCTCTCTAAACCCTACCTCCCCCTCTTGGCAAGCAGGCATATCTCTCAGCATGCCGGGGGATCACCAGATACCCAAATATGCCCTTTTCAAGGGCTACTTGGGCCTTCCTCTCAAGGGAAAAGGGGGGGGGGGGAGTAGCGAAGGCGAACCCAAGATGAAGGCCCCTCCACGCACCCAAAACCTTGTCCCCAACCACCAAAGCTCCAGTGGAAGAGTTGGCTCTTGCGCAGAGAACACACATGCAGGTGACATGCCAGTTAGGAAGTTTCGGGCCTAGTTTAGGGTTGCGGGTTGGGGGTCGAGGGTTCAGGGTTTGGGGTTTAGGAAGTTTCGAGTTCAGGGCTTAGCAAGTTAAGGCTGTCGGGTTGGGGGTCTAGGGTTTCGGGCTTTGGGTTAAGGATGTTGAGCTTCGGGTGTAGGATTTGGGATTTCAGGCTTGCAGGTTAATCTCGGGCTTTAGGGGAGTATAGGGGTTTGGAGCTGGGTGGCCTGTGATCATGCAATGAGCAGTCAAAGCAATGCCATAGACGACTTGAATAGATGCTACATTTCTTTGCGACAGAAGCATGAGAGAGTGAGCGGCTGCATGCTTCGAAAAGCCGGGATAAACCCTAAACCCTAAACCCTAAACCCTAAACCCTAGAGCTCAAATCCCCAGAAACCTGCAGCTGGCTCAGCTGCAGCTGCACCTCGTGGCTTCTAAGAGGGCTTGAGGGGGTCTTAGGAGGGTGTGGGAGTTTTAGGGTTTTGGGGGTTTTAGGGTTCAGGGTTTGGGAGTTTTAGGGTTTTGGGGGGTTTTAGGGTTCAGGGTTTGGGAGTTTTAGGGTTTTGGGGGGTTTTAGGGTTCAGGGTTTGGGAGTTTTAGGGTTTTTGGGGGGTTTTAGGGTTCAGGGTTTGGGAGTTTTAGGGTTTTGGGGGTTTTAGGGTTCAGGGTTTGGGAGTGTTAGGGTTTTGGGGGTTTTGGGTTCAGGGTTTGGGAGTTTTAGGGTTTTGGGGGTTTTAGGGTTCAGGGTTTGGGGTTTGGGGGTTTTAGGTTTTTTGGGAGTTGGGGTTTAGGGTTCAGGGGGTTTTAGGGTTTTTGGGGTTTTAGGTTCAGGGTTTGTTTTTTGGAGTTCAGGGTTTGGAGTGTTAGGGTTCAGGGTTGGGGGGTTTTTAGGGTTCAGGGTTTGGGGTTTAGGGTTCAGGGTTTGGGAGTTTTAGGGTTTTGGGGGTTTTAGGGTTCAGGGTTTGGGAGTTTTAGGGTTTTGGGGGTTTTAGGGTTCAGGGTTTGGGAGTTTTAGGGTTTTGGGGGTTTTAGGGTTCAGGGTTTGGGAGTTTTAGGGTTTTGGGGGTTTTAGGGTTCAGGGTTTGGGAGTTTTAGGGTTTTAGGGTTCAGGGTTTGGGAGTTTTAGGGTTTTGGGGGTTTTGGGGTTCAGGGTTTGGGAGTTTTTAGGGTTTGGGAGAAATAGGGTTCAGGGTTTGGGAGCTTTAGGGTTTGGGAGTTTTAGGGTTTTGGGGAGTTTTAGGGTTCGGGGTTTGGGAGTTTGAGGGTCAAGGGTTTGGGGTTTCGAGTTTGGGATTTAGGGTTTGGGGTTTCGGGTTTAGGGCTTGTGGTTTAGGGTTTAGGGTTTAGGGTTTAGGGTTTGGGGTTTCTCAGTTTGGGGGTTGTGTGTGCTTTCTTTAGAATCTGTTCTGTTCAAGGGCCTTTTGGGTTTTAAAGTTTTAGGGCTTGGGGGTCTTAGGGGTTTAGGGTTTTGAGGTTTTTGGGTCTGGGGTTTTCGAGTTTTAGAATTGTTGTTTTCCTTTGTGTTTTTTTTCCGGGAATTTGGGGTCTAGGAAATTTGGTGTCCTTGGGGTTTATGGCTTAGGGTCATTTTGAGAGTCCTAGGGCTTTGGGGTTTAGGAACTTGAGGCTCTGTGGTCTAGGTCTTTCTTGGCAGTGGACACCTTCTCTCTGCGTCTTATGTTTAGGGTTAAGGGTTTAGGGTTTAGGGTTTAGGATTTAGGGTTACGTCGTGAATCAGGGGCAAGCTGTTTTGTGGTCAAGCCTAAGCCCTAAACAGTTGACACTAAACCGAAACATCCCTAAAAGCCCTAACCCAGTTCAAGGTCCGAGCTGGGCCGTTGAGGTTGGGGTTTAGGGTTTAGGGTTTAGGGTTTAAGGTTTAGGGTTTAGGGTTTAGGGTTTAGGGTTTAGGGTTTAGCCCCGGAACTGGTGGCCCAAATACCCTGAACTCGAACTACACCTTGACTCAAAACCCTGAATCCCTCAACCCAGAAGTTAAAAACCCGAAAAGATAGCCCTAAAAACAGCCAAACCCTAGAAACCTAAACCCTAAAACCCTAAACCCAAAAAACCCCAAACCTAAAACCCCAAACCTTAAACCCCAAACCCCAAATCCCTAAACACTAAACCCTAAACCCTAAACCCCAAACCCTAAACCCTAAACCCCAAACCCTAAACCCCGAACCCCAAAACCCAAACCATTAATCCTAAACCCCCAAAAACACCCAGGCCTCTTCGAGTCGGCGCGTCAGAGAGGAGCGCTCCTCTTCCAGCCTTAGCGGGCTCCCCTTAGGGTTTAGGGTTTAGGGTTTAGGGTTTAGGGTTTAGGGTTCAGGGTTCAGGACTGTATTGCAGTGCTTCGGAACATCAGCAGCCAGGCGGCGCAGTGCGCTTCGACGCGAAGGACACCAAGGTCTCCTTGAACTCGGTCATCCTCCAGTTCAGTTTAGGGTTTAGGGTTTAGGGGTTTAGGGGTTTAGGGGTTTAGGGGTTTAGGGGTTTAGGGGTTTAGGGGTTTAGGGGTTTAGGGGTTTAGGGTTCAGGGTTTAGGGTTTAGGGTTCTAGGGCTTTGTTGGGGTTTTTAGGGTTTAGGGGGCATCCTCCAGCGGAGGTTTTTCTTGGTTCTGATAGGACTATTGGGGTTTGGGGGGGGGGGGGGGGGGTGCCCTTTTTGGTTTGATCGGTTTATAAGGGATCGTCAACCCAAAAGGTGGAATAAGGGTACTGCTGGGCATCCTCGTTTTCCACCAGAAGCAGCAGGTTCACCCGATTGAGGTTCGGGTTTAGGGTTTCGGGGGTCAGGGTTTGTATTTAAGGGCGTTTGGAGTACCTCCAAAGCTTGCCATTGGCAGAGTTGTTTACGACCACATTTGGGAAGCCTATACCCCTTCAACTGACCATGAGCCTTTGTTAAGGTTTCTTGGCCGTTTTGGGCTCGAGTATTCGACCGGGAGGTGGAAATGCCGGATGCTTTGACTGGGGCAGGCCCGTAAAACCCTACGAAACAAAAAGCAAGTTCATTCTGAAGCACAGCACAAACACATCTAAGACCCTAAAACCCTAAACTCCAAAATCTAAACCCTAAACCCTAAACCCCCACAATCAAACCGCAAACCACCTCAACCCGAAACTAAACCCTAAACCCTAAACCCTAAACCCTAAACCCTAAACCCTAAACCCTAAACCCTAAACCCTAAACCCTAAACCCTAAACCCTAAACCCTAAACCCTAAACCCTAAACCCTAAACCCTAACAAAGAATCCCCAGCTGATGGAAGAAACGACGAGTCGCTGCTGTTCCAAGCCGGCTCTCAGCCTCGGTGCTGACAGGGCTTTAAGCGTTAGGGTTTAGGGTTTAGGGTTTAGGGTTTAGGGTTTAGGGTTTCGGGTTTAGGGTTTAGGGCTGGTTTTCGGGGTTTAGGGTTTTTAGGGTTTCCGGAGTTGAGGGTGTTAGGGGCGTGAGGGTTTTCGGGGGTTAGGGTTTTGGGGGCTTAGGGTTTTAGGGGTGTGAGGGTTCTCCGGGGCTTCTGGCTTTATGCAAGCAGTCACCGCGGACGGTCTAAGCGAGAAGCACGTCAAGATCCCCACAAGGGACTACTAGAAAAGTGCCAATTCCTAAGTCGGGCGCTGTGTGTGTGTGTGTGTGCTTGGAGCGCATGTCAAGCATTCCACACAACAGACGGATGTACAACAGGCATCTTGGGTTTGCAAGGTCGAGCGGTTTAGTGCTTAAGTGTTTCAATCGGGTTTTAGGTTTTACCCACAAACCCCAAGCTCTAACTCAGCTTTACATTTAAGGTTTCGCGTTATGGGTACACCCCTGAACACGCAAACCGCTGTATTGTGGTGGAGGCTTTCAGGGCTCAAGGGTACATCCCCTCAACACCCTAAATTCGCAGCCCCACAGATCAAACCCAAACGCCAAAACCCCTATCCCCAAACCCGAAAGACCACTCAAAACCCGAAAACCCCTAACGCTCCCCTCAACACCCTAACATTCCCCCCAATTGCCTAAAAGTCCCCTCAAAACCCTCAACTCCCCCGAAGGCCCTGCAAAAACCTCCCTCGGTGATCCCTCCAAGGGGCTCCGAGAGGGAGCCTTGGAGAAGCGCTTGCTCCGCACTTAGCTCCTCTTCTCCAAGGGTTTGGCTCTTTTGAATCAAATGTGAATTCAAGTATGCTTCGGGGTTTAGGGTTTCTTCAGGGTTTAAGGTTTAGGGTTCAGGAGGGTTTGAGGGTTTAGGTGGGTTTGAGGGTTAGGGTCTGCGAGTTTTGGTTAAGGTTTCGGCGGGGTTCGGTTCGTCTGCATCTCGCGCCTGGCTCATGATTTCACGTTGGGGTCCCCGCTTGAGTCTTAAGACCCCCAACCTGGCCCAACCTCAGGGAAGGTGCACTTAGCATCATACATGTCAGGTATTTCAGAAATGTATAGAAAAAGAAATATAGATGTCAGTATAGTTATGAATATGAATATAAATATACATCGTAATATAAATCAAACTGTAAATAAAAAGAAACAAATAAATGCATATACACATATATATATATATACACATGCACGTATAATATATACATATGTACTATACATACACATATATATATATATAGCGAGAGAGAGAGAGAGAGATACAGAGAGAGAGAGAGAGCGAGATAAAATCTGTGGTGTAAGGAAACCTCCCGGCCATGTCCGTACCCCCCCCCCCGCCCCTGAACCCTAAAACCCCCAAAACCCTAAAACTCCCAAACCCTGAACCCTAAAACCCCCAAAACCCTAAAACCCCCGCCCCCCCCCCCCCCCCCCCACCCCCAGGGAAAATCCTTGACGTTGGCATCCAGGGCCGACAGCATATGGTCGGCAGAGTCCAGCAGCTGATCCACCTTGGGCCCCAGGCGGTTTAGGGTTTAGGGTTTAGGGTTTAGGGTTTAGGGTTTAGGGTTTAGGGTTTAGGGTTTAGGGCTTAGGGTTTAGGGTTTAGGGTTACGTTGAAGCCCCCCTTCTTTGGACCAGAAAACCCTTTAACCTCCAGTTGAAGGTCCCTCATTTGAGGTACCCTATTCTGGCATGCACCCATTTGCTGAGTGTACCGAAATGAAAAGGCTTTAGGGTTTTTAGGGCAGAGGGGCCAGAGTTGAACCGGCCAGGGAGACTTGATTTCAAGGCTTCAAGACTGTCGAGTGAGCTGCAGGAGCTGGTTCAAACAACAAGCTGTGAACCCATGTGGTGAAATATGGGCTTTAGGGGGGGATCTGTGGGGCTTCGGGCTTGGGTTTTTGGGTGTTCCTAGATATGAGGCCCCGTATCGAACCCAATAAGGGGGCCATGATTTTTGCACAGCTGCCTCATATGCTATAAAAACAGCCTGCGCTATAAGACCCAAACACCTCTATCCCGAAACCTCCTTCATGAACCCTCGGCCCAGCCAAAACTACTGGCTCTGAGTAGGGAATTGGGTACCATACTGTATCCCCCTATATATAGCCTCAGAAACCGTGGGAAAATCGTGCCTACCGCCTGGCGCTATCCAAAGCTTCGTTTCCAACGAAATCTCTCAAACAAGCCCTTCGCAAGCTTTCAAGAGCCAATGCACCCGAGAGATTGTACCCCGATCGTTCCGATTGCAGGCTTCAAGGGGCTCTTGTCTCATATTTCAGAAGCTACCCGAGATGTCAACCCTCAACCCGAAACCCAATCGTAAACCGCCCAAGAAGCCCTAACCCCTAAACCCTAAACCCAGAGTCCCTGGCTTCTGCCGGCCTCGGGGACGGTGGTCACGGAGCTTGCAGCCTCGACCTCCAACTTCGCCACAGCGTCGCAAAGCAAGGCCTTTGAGCTTTGCTCGTCAAAAACGAAAACCCTAAGGGTTTAGGGTTTAGGGTTTGGGGTTTGGGGTTTAGGGTTTGGGGTTTAGGGTTTAAACCATTGAACACTAAAGGGTTTAGGTGCTTAGGTGTGTAGGGCTTCTGGGATGGGGGCGAAGGGGGTGTGTAAGAAGTTTGGGGTCAAGGGCTTCATTAATTCCGGATTAAGAACTAGCGAGTGAACTCTAAATCTGCTGCTTAAGCTCCATAGGCGTCTACTAGGGCAGGGGATTCCAGCACACAAGTCCACACCAGTCCTTCGGCGATTCTTTATTGAGAGGCTCGTAAGGGATGATCGCTGTGCGCATTTCGGTAGGGCTCGGGTGCGCGGTTTCGGTCTTGGCTTTTGGTTTTCGGGTTTAGGGCCTAGACCCTAAACCCTACAAAGGGCTAGGGTTGAAGCTCAAGGCGGCGTCCATTGCTCAGTCCCTGTGAACTAGGTATGCACCTCAACCCCTAATTGATGAGCAGGGTTCAGTACCTCAGCCTCAAGCCCCCTTCAGGCCCCTTAAATGCCCGAAAGAACCCGGAAAACAAACCTGACAAAAAACATCACCGAAAACTCTAAAGCCCCTGAGCAAACAGACCAAAAACTGCAAAGTCCTAACCCAGAACCCTAAAGTCCTAGGACCCTAGAACTCTAACCCCAAGACCCTACAACCCTAAGCAATAATCCGTACTTAAATTACCAGACCCCAAAACCTTGAGCCCTAAACCCTTAAAGCCCTACATCCTTAAAGCCCTTAAACCTCTAAACCCTGGAAAAAAACTAAAACCCTTAACGCCCTTAAAACCCTTAAAGCCCCTAAAGCCCTTAAAGCCGTAAAGCCCTTAAACCCCCTGGATAGGGATTATAGCCCCATCTTAATCCCTATTAAGGACTGTTAGTACCAGGTGGAACACCCTGTAACCACTTAAACCCTTAAAACCCCTAAAGCCCTTAAAGCCCTTGAACCCCAGAGACCCAGGCCGTGCGCTCGCGAATGCGGCTGGACTCGGATTCGGCCTTCTTGCGGCACGGTCTTTAGGGTTCTAGAGGTTCTAGGCGTTTCTTGGGGGTTTCTAGGGCTTTAGGGGTTCTAGGTTTGTGAATCTGATAGACGCGATGCTCGCATGATGGGTTTTAGAGAAAAATGTTTTTTCAAAGCTTTGTGCGTCTAAAACAAGCGAGGGGGTTGGGGGCCAGCCGCCCCCCCATTTGCAAACACAATGCTCGCATGATGGGTGCCAAGCCGAGCCCGGCCAAGCCAGGCCAGGCAGAGCCCAAGCCAAGCCACGCCTTTTCAAAGGGGACAGGCCCGAGCCACACCTTTGCAAAAACAAACCCGGACCCCCTTAAACCTTAAAACCTAAACCTTAAACCCTATAAGCCCTATGCGGGGTTTTGAACCCCATACCCCAGGTCCAACAGCAAAGCGTCAAACCCGAACTATCCTCACAAAGCCTAAACCCTAAACCCCCCAAATCCTGAACCCAATTCCTAAATCCAAAACCCTAATCCCCAAATCCTAAACCCTAAGCCCTAAACCCTACCCCAACACCCTCAACCCCAAGATCCCAGGATGTCGCTTCACAAGTGCTGCCCAGGCCTTTTTCAGCCTTCCGTGAGCCAGAGCCGCCCGGATGCCGCCTTTCGACATCCTCGGCGTCCCCGGCAGATTCGGGGTTTAGGGTTTAGGGTTTAGGGTTTAGGGTTTAGGGTTTAGGGCTTCGGGGCTACGGGTTGAGGGGGCAAGTCAGGGTTAGGGTAGCTAGGGTTAGGGTTTAGGGTTGGCAGACCCAATCCCTAGACTCCCACAGCATGCCGCGATTACGACATGGTGGCATCCTGCTACATCACTTTGGTGTCTAGCCGCCCCGGTTCCTTGAACCCTGCATCATTCTATAACCACCGAGAATGTCCGAATAGGATCTACTTAACCCCGCAAAAGGCTAAGGGGACCCTGAAACCAAGACGCCCTTCTTTGCTGGACCGCAGGAGGTCGGCGTTGGTGCTGGCCTCCTGGCAAAACGCAGGCTAGGTTTCGGGCTTGGGATGCTATCCCCTTGTCAGCAACACTCCCCTGAACTCCAAACCCCAACCCTAAGCTCTACTCTCAAACCCCCAAACCCTAAGCCCCAAACCCTCAACTGCCAAAGACATAGGCCCCAACATTCTGCATCAGACCCTCTTGGGCTAGCTAAGGGGAAATCCATATCCCGAGGATGTTCTGAGTGAGGTTGAAAAGATCCCAAAGAAGACTCGAGTGAGATGTAGCTATAGTGTCCCTTGGAACGTCAGATTTGATATCCGACAAAACCTTAAAGTGGGGTTTAGGGTTTTGGAGCTTGAGTTTTCAGGGTTTCTGCGTTTAGGATTCTTAATGTTGCACCCTGTTTAGTGTGGGCCCCACCCCCCCCCCCCCCCCCCCCCCCCCCCCGAGCAGTCGCGGGGGTGGATGGGATCCTGATTACACGGCTCGGGGGCAAATATGATTTTCATAGGGAGGAGTTTAGATAGGTTCAAAAGGGGCAGCGATGCCCGGTTATCTTTTTTAAAGGCGCGCCACGTGGAATTTTCTTACGGCGCCCGGACGATTTGTCTTTAAAGAGGGACTCCCAAACAGTCAGCATGTCCTGAATAATTCGGCCAGTTTGTCTTTAAAGCGGGGGCCGATACTGAACCGGATGCAACATTAGGGGTTTCAGGTTTCCCAAATCTAGACTGCACCCGTCACCACATCCAGACCCCCATTATTTTAGCAGCATAGTTAAGACTGTCAGAGTAGAACTTGCATTACGGCCATTCTGAGTAGATATGCACATACTCCTGAAATCACCCAAAACCCCAAACCCTAAAGCCCTGCACCTTTAACATAAACCTAAACTCTAAACCCTAACTCCCAGCCCTAAACCCTAAACCCTAAACCCTAAACCCTAAACCCTAAACCCTAAACCCTAAACCCCAAACCCCAAACCCCAAACCCCATGGGAAGGGGGGGGGGGAAGCTCGCCTGAGATGCAGGTGCGGACATCAGCGCGGCCAACTTGCGATCCAAGCACCGGAGCCTTGGGTTTTGTGGGCCAAAACCCTAAGACCCTGTCAGGGTTTGGGGTTTAGGGTTTAGGGTTCAAACCCAAAACCCTCAAGCCCCGCAACCATAACTAACCTAAGACCCAAACCCCCTACATTTCTACGTGCCGTGCCCAAAAGACCTATATCAACCCCAAAGGCCTAAGCCCTAGGTGAGCCCTTCTGAAGGGTTTCCGGGAACCCTAAACCCTAAACCCTAAACCCTAAACCCTAAACCCTAAACCCTAAACCCTAAACCCTAAACCCTAAACCCTTAGGGTTTAGGGTTTAGGGTTTAGGGTTTCGGGTTTCGGGTTTCGGGTTTAGGTTGCTAGGGGCTCTGCTCTTGGGTTTTATTGTTGTTATACGGCTCAGGTTTAAGTCTTTGTTGATTTTTGGTCCCATCTCACGGGACGTGCTGAGGACCTTGGGATTTTATGTAAACCCTAAAGGATGGGTTGCCCTACTACCCCCCTCTATACGACCCGTCCTGGGTTCCCCCCCCTAAATAGCCTCAAATATCCCTACATGGCCTTAATTATGGTGGGAACCTGGGGGTGGTAGTACCGAGAGAGGTAGTACAGGAACCCATGATAACAGCCCTATGAACACAGGGCGCCTGGAGAGGTCCGCAGTTTTCGGGTTTCGGGCGCTTCGGAAGCTGGGGTTTAGGATTTCCAGGCTAAGGAGGATTTGTTTTTCATGCGACCTGGAAGCTGTCTACGTATTGCCCCTTCCTGGCACTTGCCCGGGTGCCCGAATAAACCCTAAACCCTATAAACCCTAAATCCTAAACCGCGAAAAGCCCGGTCTTTCTGAGATCTTGCAAGCCACAGCCTGAGGAACTTCCCTCAAATTGACCCGGATCCAATGCAAAATTGCGGCTACTGTCTGAGATTTTTCCCCCCCTTCTGCTAACAGTCCTCAATAGGGATTATAATACCCCCCCCATTGCGGTTGACGGGCCGCTGGGTTGACGGGGCTTCGAATCTCCAGTGATCCTTCCATGTCAAAACGTCGACGCTGGGATTTCTTTTCTGAGGATTTGGGATGTGGGGATTTCGTAAGATAGGGGTACCTTATTGGGGTCCTTATGATAAGGGAATTCTACTATTTGGGGATCTAAATTAAGGGTCCCTGTTTTCGTAAACCCCCATGTGGCATTTGGGCTCTGAGGGTTGCATGCAAGGAGCGACGAGGGAATGAGCTCATGTTGCCACTGGCGCTTGACCTTGTCGCGGCTTCCACGCAAAAAATGGCTCTTGGGCACCAGGGGGTTGAGGGTTGAGGGTTCAGGGAGTTTGGGGTTGAGGTTTTCAATGTGTCAGAGTGCTGTCATGCCTAACTATCCAAACTTCTAAGAGCACTGTTGAAGATGCCAAAAGCGTGCGAGCAGCGTGCTTTTAGTTCACTTGACTATATGTGCTAGGTCGTATGCACTAGGTCAACTTTGCAACAACCCATGCATACATGTATCTGCACACATAACTAGGCTTCTATATACGGTACCCTTAATCTAAGGCTCCGTCTTGCAAGACCTCAACGAAGGACCATAGTGTAGAGTGGCCGACTACATCGAAACCTCCACAACCCTGAGCCCTAAGAAATCTCCTGCTTGGCCGGGGTGCCAGTGCCAAAGCTTTCCGGGACCAGGCGGCGCAACTCTCCGCCCGTGGGGTCTGCAAGAAAGGGCTGTTGCTTTAGGGTCCATGTCGGGCTTGGCGTTTAGGGCTTGAGGGTCGAGGGTTTAGGGTTTCAGGTTTTCCGGCTTGGGGCTTGGGGTTCAAGGCCGTGCTAGCCGCCACTGCTTTAAGGGCTTCTTGTAGGTTTTGGGTGTTTTGGACCCTTGAGGACCAGTTTGATGAATCTCTCGGCTTTGTTTGGGGTTTGGGGTTCGGGGCTCTTAGGTGGTGAAGGGTTTATGGGGAGTCAGGAGTCAAGGACTTACAAGCCGCCAAGGTTTCCGCATGTCCCGCCGCTTTCAGTTGTAGGATTTGGGCTTGATTCCGGGCTTTCTCTACAAAGTCTCTGAGGTGTCGGACTTAAGGCTTCAAGAGACTTAGGGCAACTCGAGGGTTTTGCGGTAACTCTAGAGGTTCAGGGCTCAGGGTTTGGAGTGGTATTGAGTGGGATACCTCGAGCCGTAACTCATGAAATGTGGTGCGAAAACTTGAGCCTGGAAAGCCGGCACACATGCCCTTGAATAAACCCCTAAAGATTCCGCCCCCTGGCCCGCTAAACCCTAAACCCTAAACCCTAAACCCTAAACCCTAAACCCTAAACCCTAAACCCTAAACCCTAAACCCTAATTCCTAAACTCCTTGCCCTCTTGAGCGCCTTCGTGCTTCCGCCACGCTCCGCGGTCTCCTCCGTCGCCGAGGCCATCAGCGCCTGGGTCTGTGGGTCTTTCCCAGCATAGGGGATTTAGGGTTTGGGGTTTAGGGTTTAGGGGTTAGGGTTTAAGGTTTAGGGGTTTGGGGGTTAGGGGTTAGGGTTTAGGGTTTAGGGGTAAGGGTTTAGGGGTTTTGGGGGTTGGGGTTTAGGGTTTAGGGGTTTGGGGGTTTAGGGGTTTGGGGGTTAGGGTTTAGGGGTTTGGGGGTTTAGGGGTTTGGGGGTTAGGGTTTAGGGTTTAGGGTTTAGGGGTAAGGGTTTAGAGGTTTGAGGGTTTAGGGTTAGGGTTTAGGGGGTTAGGGTTTAGGGTGCAGAACATCCCAACCGTAGACCTTAAACTCCTACCCCCCAAACATACTGCAACTGTAATCCATGTAGGCACCCCACAAAAGGTACACCCCCCCCCCCCACCCATATACTCTTCTGTCTTTTGGTCAACGGCTTAACGTTCTTGTTCTATGGAGGTTGTTTTGGGTTTGGAGAGCTCAGGAAGTCTAGGATGTAGGTAACCAGTGAAGTGAAAGGTGTGGTGGCCGGGCGTGAAAGCGAGAAGCACGTTTGTGCATTACTGTCACTAGGGTCTAAACCCCAAAAAAACCCGAAACCCTGTGTATCTTGGGGGCGCCCGGCGAAAACAAAAAATCTTTGCACAGAAAGAGATCTGCGTGTGTGGTAAGGAAAGCAAGTATCGCTCCCTTGCGGTGGACACTGGAGATATTGCCCCAGACTTGATTTTCGTTTTCACATGCGAAGAAGCGCCAACCCACGAGAGGATCGTCACCAGAACTGGGCGATAGGGATGCCAAACGCTCAAGCGTCCTCCAAGCCCTAAGCCCTAAGCCCTACGCCTACGCCCTACGCCCGGTCCAGAAACCCCACTTTGTGAGGGTTTGGGCTGCGTTGAGCCTCAGGATAAACCCCAACCCCCCCAAAACCCAAGACTCCCTAAACCCCTAAACCCTAAACCCTCCAAACTCCAAAGCTTCCAAACCCCCCTAAACCCCCTAAACCCCAACCCATAAACCCTAAACCCTAAACCCTAAACCCTAAACCCTAAACCCTAAACCCTAAACCCTAAACCCTAAACCCTAAACCCTAAACCCTAAACCCTAAACCCTAAACCCTAAACCAAGCCCCGGCCTCCAGCAGTGTTGGCCAAAAGGCCAAAGCGCCAGGAAGAAGCAGTCTCTCCATCTCAGGGCTTCAGGGTCAGGTGCCGGTCAGGCTCAGGGTTCAGGGTTCAGGGTTTCGGGTTTAGGGTTTAGGGTTTGGGGTTTAGGGTTTCGGGTCTAGGGTTTAGGGTTTCGGGTTTAGGGCTCAGGGTTTAGGGATTCTCAATATTCGGATGCAAGCCGACGTTTCACCTTTCCAGCTTCTGCTTCGAAAATCATTCGAAACGCAACGCCCTTAGACCCTCCTACCCTGTAATTCCAAACTCCCCCCTCAGTCCTAAACCCTATAAGCCCAAACCGTAAACCCTAAACCCTAAACTCCCTGAACCCTTAATTCCTAGACCCTTAATCCCGAAACCCTTAATCTTTCACCATAACCAATGCAGTCCACTCGTCCCTTTTAGGGCACATGCGTTCAGAGTCCTGTCGAAAAGAAAGACAGAAGGCTGAAGCCGAGACTGCGGATACGAGGGAGCATGGTTTGGTGAACTCGCCTGCACCACTTCCTGCCGATCCTAAACAGAGCGACACTCTGGAACTGAAGCCTGAACTGTCAACACTCTAATTAAACCTCTGAACCCAGAGAACCAATGAACCATGCATGCCCCTAAACCTTAAACCCTAAACCCAAACCCTAAACCCTAGCCCCAAAAGATCCCCTACCTACAACACCTCGAAGTCCGAATTTCCCTGAACGTACTAGCTCTTGATAGAAAACTTATCCCTAAAGCCTAAACCCTAAGCCTCTTAGGGACTAGATTTATGGATGAATATTATGCACTCCCCTTCGAGCTGGCGTAAGTAAAGCACCCTATAAAAGGAGCTTAGAAGGGAACCTCCCTAGAAAGGGGAATGAGGGCCTAGTCTGGATCCTAATGGCCCTAAACCCTAAACCCCAAAAAAGGGAATATGGCCCAGCTCTGCGTCCTCGACCCTGAACGGTCAACCTGCCAGACAAGATACCAAGGCCACGAGAGCTCGTCGCAGGGCACCGGCGTCGCCGTCGTCTTCTGGCCACATCGGGTGTTGCTTTGGGCTAAGGCCTAAACCCTAAACCCCTAAAGGTCCTAAACCCTAAATCCTAAACTTGAAGGCTTAGGGTTTAAGGTTGAGGAGCTTGGGGATTAGGAGTTTCGGGCTTAGGAGGTTAGGGTGGGGCGGAGAATTTTTTTAGTGTTTTTTTTTTCTGTTTTTTTGGTACTTTTTTTCTTCGTGGTCCCCTGGTCCCGTGGTCTCCTGGTGCCCCGGTCTGCTGGCCCCCTGGTCTTCCTAAGGAAAAGGCTACATCCCCTTAGAAAATTTCATAGGATTTGGTCGATGTCTCTTGGTTTTTCCAAAAAATCCTCCATTCCCTGTGTATTTTCATAGGAACTGGTCCATTGTTTTCTTCCTACGAAGCCTCCATTCCCTCCACATCTTCATAGGATTCGTACTACTTTTTCCCAGGCCCACCCCCCCCCCCCCCCATTTGGAAATAATGCTGTATCGTGGGTTTCAATCGTTCATATGCTTTGAAAAAAGCTTGAACGGCTTAAAGAAGCGGGGGGGTTGGGGGGGGGGGGGGGGGGGCAGCCCCCCCCCCCTTTGCAAACATAATGCTCGCATGATGGCTTTCCACCGTTAATATTCTTTGAAACAAGCCTGCATCACTAAAAAGGCGGGGGGGCTGGGCTGGGCGCAGCCCCCCCCCATTTGCAAACACAATGCTCGCATCATGGGTTTCAATCGTTCATATGCTTTGAAAAAAGTGGCCTGATGGGCTTTTATCGTTCATCTGCTTTGAAAAAGGCTTGCGCGGCTTAAAGAAGCCGCAGCCCCATTCGCAGAAAAAAAGTGGCCTGATGGGTTTCAATCCTTCATATGCTTTGAAAAAAGCTTGCGCAGCTTAAAGAAGCGGGGGGGTTGGGGGGAGGGCGCAGCCCCCGCCCCGATTTGTAAACACAATGCTCGCGTGATGGCTTTTCATCGTTCATATGCTCTCAAACAAGCTTCCACGGCAAAAAAGGCGGGGGGTTGGGGGGGGCGCAGTGGGGCGGAGAGTCTTTTTAGTACGTTTTTGTTTGGTTGGACCTCCAGGCACCTCTCAGTGTAAGGGCCGAAGTGTACCTTCATGGGGTATCTTGAGGGTATTTGGGAGGTCTGGGGAGGGCTCAGGGAATTAGCGTTCGGGGCTGAGGCTTCAGAGAGGGGAGGCTTACAGAAATTTCAAGAGCTTTGAGCTTCCTCTTCCAGGAGGCTCTCACCAATCTAACGAACTTGGAAGACGAGTTCCTCCTCTTCCCCACCACCAGCTGACAGCGCCACCGCCGCCCACCTCCTCCAACCCGACGGCCGGCATAGCCACATCCTCCTCCACAAACGCCGGCCCGTTGCTACCACCGTCGCCACCGCCGTTGCCACGGCCCTCGGTAGGCGCTGGATCGGCGGGCGAGCTGGGTGGACTGCGGGGTCGAAATAGGCAGTGCCTGGGTTAGGGTTCAGGCTTAAGGTATTTTTATGGGGCTCGAGGTAGCTGTGTGTCGTATGCTTCTAAGGATAAGGAGAGTGGGAAACTGTTGGGAGAGGATTGAATGGGGTGCCTTAGACTCCCAGAGCTTTGGAATTTCACTTGCCTTTCCCAAATCAGATATTTGTGCTTGACCAGAAGTGCATGCGCAAATGCTCAGCAGCCTCTGTGTCCTCCTTTTTCAGGGGGGAGCTTGAGAAAGATGGAAAGTAAACAAGGGGTTGAGGTGAACCCGAAACAATGAATACGCTACCCCAAGCTTTCTGGACTGAAGGCTTTTCATGGTTCTGGGCATCTTGGTTTCATAGTGGACTGAGCCTTTGATCACATGGGACACTGCTGAGTAAACTTGCAGGATCTTGTCCTTGTCGGTGCCGGCCCTGCCTTTGATGCGAATTTTGAGGGCTCAAATGACTTCCTCATCTGCTGCCGCCGTGTCAGGCAAGATAGGGTGGATGAATGCTCTGCAGGTGCAGCCCTCGGACAAATTCGGGAGTATCTCTTTGCCCTTTGGAAGACCAAGCAAGTAAATGTAGTTTGGATCTCTTTTCTGCCAGCCTAGATCCCAGGCCATGGAATGGTCCAAGGGCATATCCAGGGACTGCAGAACAACGCCCTGAAATTCAGCCAAGTAATATGTGCCTCCATGTTGTCCCAAGTACACTCTCTCAACTCAACTGAACGAAGAGCGTGCCTCACTGCAAACCACTGCGTCTTCAGGCTTTTGAGCAGCAGCCTCCGTTGTAGTTGTTTTGGAGAGGGTGGCTGGTGGGTAATGGCACTTCCCCCCCCCAGACTCGGAAAGGCCTGGCAAACCTTTTGCTTGAAGTCTCGCGCGAGCTGTGAGTCAGGCACCTCCAGGAAAAGTCCAACCGGGTGATGGAAGAGCTGGAGCAAACCTGGTCTCTCTGGGAAAAGCTTCAAGGCTCGAGACAGTATCGTAAGATACCACCAACCAGTTCCAAACCCAGAGGCATGAAGAACATGTCAGCATCATATTGCCCTAGGCATTCCTCCAAGCCTGCCACAGCCAGGCGGACTGCTTGGGCTGCCTGCTCTGCTGAGCTGGCTGAACAGGTTCCTCACCTGCATGTGAAGTTCCTCACCTGCATGTGAAGCCTTGGCTGCCTGGGCTGGATCAAGAGGTCCCTCACCTGCTGGTGAAGAACTTGGGGCGTCAAAAAGTTCATGTGGCAGTCCCTTCAAGGTTGCCGCAAAATCTCTTACCCTTTACTGCACTCAAAGTGCACTGCTGACCATCCCATTTCTTGGCCATTACTACATCACACTTTCCTGGGCCTGCAGAGCTGAGGCTGCAAGCTGAATCTATCCGTTCGAACGCCAAGCTTGGCCAGGTGTCAGAGCAGGCTGCACCCCTGTGTTGGAGCAGGCTGCACCCCTCTTGGAGGGTCTTGAAGGCTGTGTTGGGGCATACTGCTGTCGGAGCACCCTTCAAATTGGAGGCAGCACAGCCCCAGCCCCCCAACCCAGCCGCACAACCCAGCCCCAACCCCCTCACCCCCCAAACCCCACACGCAGCTTCAAAAGCAGTGCAGCCTGGCCCTTTCAAGAGGGGCGCAGCCTGCTCCGACACAGCCTCCAAGATACTCCAAGAGGGGTGCAGCAGCTTGATTCAACAGCTCCAAGACCCTTAGGAGGGGTACAGCCTGCCCCAATACAATATCTTCCAGGCCTACCTAGTACAGCTTTAGAGTTTAGACAATTTAGAGTACGTCAGAACACAGGTTTAGGGGGCTTAACTAAGCCTGAGGCATTTCCGGGGTGGTGCTTTTAAGCTCTTTGTGGGTGCAATTTGGGAACCCTGAGAATCGCCGCGGCTCGAAATCCGAACGCCCTAAGCACTCAATGCGTAGACCCCCGCAAAGAACCTCCAAGCTTCCCAAGCCCGAAGTCCCTGAAAAGCCCTAAACTTCCCAGGATTCCCTAAGGCTCAGATCTAAGCGCTTCAGGGGCTATGTACCTCAGGGTCTTAGGGCATTTGAGTGTAGAACCATATGGTTTCGAGATTTGGAGTTTAGAACTTTTGGCTTAAGCGCTTACATCTGTGGGGAGCTAGAGGTTGCTGGATTTCTGTCAGGAGTATAAATACCCCAAGAAGGCTACAGGTTACTTGCTCGCATACTAAGGGCCAAAGCCTGGGGCCTGGGGTGTTGTCAGCCCCGACACCCGAAGCGGGCCACGATGTAGATCACCCCACATATACATGTGTATATAGACGCACGTACGTACATACGTACATGCATACATACATACATACATGCATGCATACATGCATACATGCACACATACACACTATACATACTTCCGTATATGTATTTAGTATGATATGACAGAATATAATGCAAGGTCATATGCATAAAACAATAACAAAAAAACAACTCAAACCTGGAGCTCCTGAAGGTCTTCCCTGCATTCCCCTTGCACCTCCCTGAACGAGTTGGCCACGCAGCGCGGGCGCCTGCTTCAGAGGAAACCCAGGGAGCAGGTTTAGGGTTCAGGGGAGCAGCCGTTTTACTTGTCAGAGCTAGGGCTTAGGGTTGAATATTGGGGTGTGGGACTTTTCGAGATTGCTGAGGTTCAGCGTCTTGGAGTTTCGGTCAAGATGGCTAAGATCAGGGGTTTAAACCTCAAGAGCCCCCCAATGCCTCCAAGACAAGCCAAGCCTCACAAGCCCCTCAGTGCCAACAAAAACCCTCAACGCCTTGGCCTACAAAAAGCCCTTACGCTGCAAAAACGCTCAGCCTGCCCGAAACCCTAAACCCTGAACCCTAAACCCTAAACCCTAAACCCTGAACCCTGAACCCTAAACCCTAAACCCCCCCAAACCCTGCGCGCCCGCGCGCAGGCGTCGACGAGTGATTCCATGGCTTGGCTCCGGAGCAGCGCCTGGGACTGAGGAGTTTAGGGATTAGGGTTTAGGGTTCAGGGTTCAGGGTTTAGGGTTTAGGCGTACCTGTTTTTATAGAAGGGCATGGTATACATGGGTAAACCCTACGTGATGAGAAGCTTCCTCAAGGGAAACCTGAAGCCTGCAAACCCGTAGCCCAAAAAGCTGAAACCAGCCCAAAAGCGTGATCAAAAGCAGCGCACCCTCAAACAGAGTGGAACAACATCGCCGGCACTTAACCCCAAGCCCTAAACTCTGAACCCTAAATCCCTAAATCCCAAAGCCCCCCCCCCCCCCCCCCCAACTAGGCCGAGCTCCCCCAACTCGGCCCAAGCCTGGTAGAAGGAAAGAGGCTCGGCCTCAGAAAGGGTCACTCTGCGGGTGTGACGAAGGGATTGAGTCTGGGGTTTCGGGCGGCCCGGGCTTAGTTTGGCTCAGGTTGCCGAGTAACTTAGGAACAAAACCCCCTTCTTTTGCATCAAGGGACTTAGAAGGGAACCTAAATCCCCCGCCCCCCTCCCCCCAAAAGAAAAAGGAAAACAGGGTACTACTGGGCATCCGAGCAAAAATGAGCCAAGATAAGTCAACATTGAACCCCACGTTATGCATCCCGTGAACCCCACCTTGCAAGCAGGTTGTGCAACAACTGCACTGAGCTTTTTGTTTGCATTGAGCCCTCATTGATCATTCTGCATGTCGAGAGGTACAGGAAACTTTGCAGACCTGTTTTTGATTGACGGCAATCAAAGCTTCACTGCAGGAAATGAGAGACACCTCAATCTAGCACAGTAAGACAGACAGAGAAGGCATGCCCGCACAATGCACTACATCCTACCCTCCCACCACAAGCTTAGTTGCTGAGTTCATAAGCCCTCGAAGAAAAGTGTACACTTTCAGTTCTATAGGTGATTAAGTACATTATCCCAAAAAGTGTAAAGTGTAAACTCATTCAGCTACTGAGCAAGGAGGCCAGCATTCAACTTAAACCCCCCCCCCCCTCCCAACAAACCGTGGGCCTTAGAATTCCCAGGGCCGAATGTTGAGACCCTAAGCTCGCCTCACCCATAAAGCCCTAAACTCTAAATCTCAAAAAAGCCTAAAGCCCTCAAATTGCAAAAGCTCCGCGATCGCTGAGGCAGTATACCCATTCAGTTCAGGGTTGAGGGTCGCTCTGGTGCTTCCTGCACACGACGAAGTCTTGCTTCACTGAAATTTGTCGGGTTACTTCTTCACTTTGTCGTACGGCACCCTTATAAAATCCGGGTTAGGGTTTAGGGTTTTGGGTTCCCAAAAGGCACCCAAGTTTAAGGATCTCCAAGCATGGCACGACAAACGCAATCATCCATAGCCATGGCCGCAATTGCAGGTGTTCTGTTGGAACCCCTCTAAAGCCGTTGAACGATCATCGCAACTAATCTATAGCTCTGCAGGTGCGGGAGGCAGAAGTCCTCGAAACCCTATAAACCCTGTAGGCCCGAAATAACCCAGCAAACCCAGCAAACCCCCTAAACCCTGTAGAACCCTAAAAACCCTGTAGGCCCGAAACAACCCTGTAAACGCCCCTAAACCCTTTACACCGTATCATCCCTATAAACCCCCCAAAGCCTCTAAACCCTCTAAACCCTGTAAACCCCCTAAACCCTGTAAACACCCCTAAACCCTTTAGAGCCGTATCATCCCTATCCCTACAAACCCCCTAAACCCTGTAAACACCCCTAAACCCTTTAGAACCCTATATAAACCCCCATACACCCTACAACCACCGAGCTCCCAGCCAGCCCATGATCTCCTGCAGCCACTTGGGGTATCTCTCCGCACTAGTCTCTTTCTAGGGGTTGAGGGTTTAGGGTTTAGGGCTAGGGTTTAGGGTTTCGGGTTTAGGGCTAGGGTTTAGGGTTTCGGGTTTAGGGCGAGTTGCGCTCTTAGCCATGAAGCCTCACAAACCTCTTGAAAACCTCAGCCCGAGTCCCAAAACACTAGATTGAGCTTAGGGGTATGAAACCTACAGCTAAGAGCTGTGCCAGCCTCTGGAACCGCATTCAGCAACTATGTTTAGCATCCTCTTGGGTTCTATGTATGTATGTACGTATGTATGTATGTATGTATGTCTATATATATACACACAGATTTATAAGCAAGTAATTACAGAAAATATTTACGAACAGAAATAACAACAAATAAGAAGCAACTACATATCAATAAATAAGTATCAATATAACCCCTATATGGTCACCCCCCCCCCCCCCCCCCCCCCCCACCCCCGCCCCCTCCGCCCCGCCCCCCGCCCCCTCGCCCAGGACCACGCCTTGTATCCATATATTCAAAGTAATAAAAACAAACATTCATTCTCGAAGTTTTCATGACGTCATCATTGCTTGCGAATATGTGGAATAAGAATTCACCATCTACAGAAGAAAACCTAGTCTCATGCCGCCTCTTGCCCGCACAATCCTCGCAGGCCACCTTCAAGAGTCCTCCCCTCAACCATAGACACCTCCCCTAACAACTCCAAAATGTCACCAGTACTACCACCCTCAACCCTCAAACTCTAAGCCGATCACGGGCATACTAACTGTTGGGGGGGGAGGGGTCGAGGGGCTTTCAGTTCGGAGGAAGATGCTAAGCTAAGTCGTGAACAATGCGGATGACCACCCAAATGCAAAAACCCCCGCCTATACCCCCTGTTGCTGAGTACCCTGGCCAACAAAAATTCTAATGAAAAGGTCCCCCTTCCTTTGAATCGCGAGGATTATGTATCAACCCCAAAAGGTTGAAAGTTACCTACTCAGCTACGAAAGCCCAACCTCCTAACGCCCCCCAACCCCCAAACCCCCAAACCCCCCAAACCCAAACCCAAACCCCCAAACCCCCAACCCCCAACCCCCAAACCCCCAAACCCCCAAACCCCAAACCCCAAAAACCCCCAACCCCCCCAACCCCCAAACCCCCAAACCCCCAACCCCCAACCCCCAAACCCCCAAACCCCCAACCCCCAAACCCCCAAACCCCCCCCCAAACCCCCCCCCAACCCCCAACCCCCAAACCCCCAAACCCCAACCCCAACCCCCAACCCCCCAAACCCCCAAACCCCCAAACCCCCAAACCCCCCAACCCCCAACCCCCAAACCCCCAAACCCCCAAACCCCCCAAACCCCCAACCAAACCCCCCCAAACCCCCAAACCCCCAAACCCCCAAACCCCCAAACCCCCAAACCCCCAACCCCCAAACCCCCAAACCCCCCAAACCCCAACCCCCAAACCCCCAAACCCCCAAACCCCCAACCCCAAACCCCCAAACCCCCAAACCCCCCCAAACCCCCAACCCCCAAACCCCCAAACCCCCCCAAACCCCCAAACCCCCAAAACCCCCAAACCCCCAAACCCCCAAACCCCCAAACCCCCAACCCCAAACCCCCAAACCCCCAAACCCCCAAACCCCCAACCCCCAAACCCCCAAACCCCCAAACCCCCCCCCAAACCCCCAAACCCCCCAACCCCCCAAACCCCAACCCCCAAACCCCCCCCAAACCCCCAACCCCAAACCCCCAACCCCCCAAACCCCCAACCCCCAAACCCCCAAACCCCCAAACCCCCAAACCCCCAACCCCCAAACCCCCAAACCCCCAAACCCCCAACCCCAAACCCCCAAACCCCAAAAACCCCCCCCCAAACCCCCCCCCAAACCCCCAACCCCCAAACCCCCAAAACCCCAAACCCCAAAAACCCCAACCCCCAAACCCCCAACCCCCAACCCCCAAACCCCAAACCCCCAAACCCCCAAACCCCCAAACCCCCAAACCCCCAAACCCCAAACCCCAAACCCCCAAACCCCAAACCCCCAAACCCCCAAACCCCCAAACCCCCAAACCCCCAAACCCCCAAACCCCCAAACCCCCCCCCCAACCCCCAAACCCCCAAACCCCCAACCCCCAACCCCCAACCCCCAACCCCCAACCCCAAACCCCCAAACCCCCAAACCCAACCCCCAAACCCAAACCCCAACCCCCCAAACCCCCAAACCCCCAACCCCAACCCCAAACCCCAAACCCCCCCCCAACCCCCCCCAAACCCCCAAACCCCAAACCCCCAAACCCCCAAACCCCCAAACCCCACAACCCCCACCCCCCCCAAACCCCCAAACCCCCAAACCCAACCCCCAAACCCCCAACCCCCAAACCCCCAAAAACCCCCAAACCCCAACCCCCAAACCCCCAAACCCCCAAACCCCAACCCCCAAACCCCCAAACCCCCACCCCCCAACCCCCAAACCCCCAAACCCCCAACCCCCAAACCCCCAAACCCCCAAACCCCCAAACCCCCAAACCCCCAAACCCCAAACCCCAACGCCCAAACCCCCACAACCCCCCAAACCCCCAAACCCCCAACCCCAACCCCCAAACCCCCAAACCCCAACACCCCCAACCCCCAAACCCACCCAAACCCCCAACCCCCCCACCCCCAACCCCCAAAACCCCAAACCCCCAAAACCCCAAACCCAACCCCAACAAACCCCCAAACCCCCAAACCCCCCAACCCCCCCCCACCCCCCCCCCCCCCACCCCCAAACCCCCACACCCCACAACCCCCAAAACCCCCAAACCCCCACCCCAACCCCCACACCCACCCCCCCCCCCAACCCCCAAAACCCCCCCCCCCCCCCCCTACCCCCAAACCCCAAACCCCCAAACCCCAACCCCCCAACCCCAACCCCCAAACCCCCAAACCCCAAACCCCCAAAAAAACCCCCAACCCCCCCAAAAAACCCCAAACCCCCCCAAACCCCAAACCCAAACCCCCAAACCCCCAAACCCCAAACCAAAAAACCCCAAACCCCAAAACCCAAACCCCAACCCCAAAAAACCAACAAACCCCCAAACCACAACCCAAACCCCCAAACCCCAACCCCCAAACCCCCAAACCCCCCAACCCCCAAACCCCCAAACCCCAAACCCCCCAAACCCCAAACCCCAAACCCCAAACCCCAAAACCCCAAACCCCAAACCCCAAACCCCCAAACCCCCAAAAACCCCAAACCCCCCAAACCCCCAAACCCCAAACCCCCAAACACCCCAAAAACCCCCAACCCCCAAACCCCAAACCCCCAAACCCCCAAACCCCAAAACCCCAACCCCCAAACCCCCAAACCCCCCCAAACCCCCCCCCAAACCCCCCCCCCCAAACCCCCCAACCCCCCACCCCCAAACCCCCAAACCCCCAACCCCCAAACCCCCAAACCCCCCAAACCCCCAAACCCCCAAACCCCCAAACCCCCAAAACCCCAAACAACCCCAAACCCCCAAACCCCCAAACCCCCAAACCCCCAAACCCCCAAACCCCCAAACCCCCCAAACCCCCCCAAACCCCAAACCCCCAAACCCCCAAACCCCCAAACCCCCAAACCCCCAAAACCCCAAAACCCCAAACCCCCAAACCCCCAAACCCCCCAAACCCCCAAACCCCCAAACCCCCAACCCCCAAACCCCCAAACCCCCAAACCCCCCAACCCCCAACCCGCCAAACCCCAACCCCCCAAACCCCCAAACCCCCAACCCCCCAAACCCCCAACCCCCAAACCCCCAAAACCCCAACCCCCAAACCCCCAAACCCCCAAACCCCCAAACCCCCACCCCCAAACCCCAAACCCCCAACCCCAACCCCCAACCCCCAAACCCCCCAAACCCCCAAACCCCCACCCCCCAAACCCCCAAACCCCAACCCCCCAAACCCCCAAACCCCCAAACCCACCCCCCCAAACCCCCAAACCCCAAACCCCAAACCCCAAACCCCCCCAACCCCCAAACCCCCCAAACCCCCAAAAACCCCCCCCCAAAACCCCCCAAAACCCCCAAACCCCCAAACCCCCAAACCCCCAAACCCAAAACCCCCAACCCCCCAACCCCAAACCCCCAAACCCCCCCCCCCCCCAAAACCCCCACCCCCCCAACCCCCCAACCCCCCCCCCCAAACCCACCCACCCCCCCCCCCCCCCCCCAAACCCCAACCCCCCAAACCCCAACCCCCCCAACCCCCAAACCCCCAAACCCCCAAACCCACACCCCCCAACCCCCAAACCCCCAAACCCCCCCACCCCCAAACCCCCCACCCCCAACCCCCAACCCCCAAACCCCAACCCAACCCCAACCCCCAACCCCCAACCCCACCCCCCCCCCCAAACCCCCAAACCCCCAAACCCCAAACCCCCAAACCCCAACCCCAAAACCCCAAACCCCCAAACCCCCCACCAAACCCCCAAACCCCAAACCCCCAAACCCCCAAACCCCCAACCCCCAAACCCCCAAACCCCAAACCCCCCCCAACCCCAAACCCCCAAACCCCCAACCCCCCCCCCAAACCCCAAACCCCCAAACCCCCAAACCCCCAAAAACCCCAAACCCCCAAACCCCCAACCCCAACCCCCAAAACCCCCAACCCCAAACCCCAAACCCCAAACCCCCAAACCCCAACCCCCAAACCCCCAACCAAACCAAACCCCCCAAACCCCCAAACCCCAAACCCCCAAACCCAAACCCCCAAACCCCCAAACCCCAAAAACCCCCCAAAACCCCAACCCCCAACCCCCAAACCCCAAACCCCCAAACCCCCAAACCCCCAAACCCCAAAACCCCCAAACCCCCAAACCCCAAACCCCCCAAACCCCAAACCAACCCCACCCCCCCCAAACCCCCAAACCCCCAAACCCCCAAAAACCCCAACCCCAACCCCCAAACCCCCAACCCCCAAAAACCCCAAACCCCCAACCCCCAAAACCCCCCCACCCCCAACCCCAAACCCCAAACCCCCAAAACCCCCAAACCCCAAACCAAACCCCCAAACCCCCCAAACCCCCCAAACCCCCAAACCCAAAACCCCAACCCCAAACCCCCAAAACCCAAACCCCCAAACCCAAACCCCCCAAACACCCAAACCCCCAAACACCCAAACCCCCAAACCCCCAAACCCCCAAACCCCCAAACCCCCAAACCCCCAAACCCCCAAACCCCCAAACCCCCAAACCCCAAACCCCAAACCGTAAACCCTAAACCCTAAACTCTAAGCAACCAGGAGCGCAACGTCGCCTTCGAGCTCCCGCGCCCCCCCCAAAGTGAAGGCACCGTGGCCGCTGTCGCTGCGCTCCACCTGGAATTGACAAATCCACGTGGAGTTCAGGTTTAGGGTTTGGGGTTTAGGGTTTAGGGTTCAGGGTTTGGGGCTTAGGGTCTCTGCCAGACCAGCATGTTTGCAAGATCTTGAAGTGGGACTGTTTGCGCCACAATTTCCATTGAACAACCCTACGCACTTCTATAACCCTAAATCCTAAACCCTAGACCCTGGACCCTAAACCCAGGCTAGACCCTTGACCTGCAACCCTAGACCGCGCACTTAAAAAAGGCAGGGTGGGGGTCTAGAAGCCCAAATGCTTCGAGATGATCCCAGAGCCATTTCTACCCCCAGAAGCCTCCGAAAACACCCGGACCGCCAAACCCGAAGCCCTAGAGGGTTTAGGTTTTAGGGCTCTGGAGTACCTGACAACGCCTAGAGGGTTTAGGTTTTAGGGCTCTGGAGTACCATGACAATGAATCTGGCAGCAGGCAGGTTTCTCTCCTAAGCCTGCTATCTCCATCGACCAGAACGCCAGACCGTAGCAGAGGTGATCTTGACCCTAAACCCTAAACCCTAAACCCTAAGCCCTAAACCACATGGTGCTTAGGACCTAGTGCTTAAAGCTCGGCCTAAGAGTCGCAGGGACAGGATCCGAGTTGTCAAGGTCGTTGAAGACGAGGAATTCCACTCCCATGCTTCATGGAGACCACGACTCAAAAGGTCTGCCCTGAAGAATGGTGATGCAACCCCGGTATCACGGAGCAACATTGTTCAGGGTGCGAGGGTATGGAGTTGCGGCTTCGAAAGCTCTGAGCCCTATATGAAAAGCAGGCTTTCTCAGCACCTGACCCAGCGAGTAGCCAGCTCAGTCGCCGCTTGCAATGTCGACACTCGCCGCGCCTCTGGCAGATCCAGAGGGCTTGAAGTTTAGGGTGTACCTTGAAGGCAAAAGAAATGGCATGCCCCCCCCCCTTATACTAACAGTCCTGAAACGGGTTGATGTACCCCCCCTACGATATGTTCGTATAAGGGGCAACATCCCAAGCCAAAAGCCCTGCTTTTTTTGTAGGAGACCTCGGAATCCCAATAAGGGCAACCTGCCACACTGGCCTCGGGTACACTAACTGGCCACAACCGCCTTCGGAGGTCCTGGTCTATGTCTGCGCCGCAGTGGACTCCCTAGACCCTAAACCCTAAACCCTAAACGGCTGTGCATCATCTGGCTACCTGAGGGCCGTGAGCCAAGGCTTGTTGTTGGCTCTGCCGGAAAGTGCCCGTTGAAGTTGGACAGGAACCCCTAAAACCCTAAACCTTGGACAGGAACCTCCAAAAACCCTAAACCCTAAACCCTAAAACCCGAAACTTTCTTGGACAGGAACCCCTAAACCCCTAAACCCTAAACCCCTAAACCCTAAAACCCTAAACTCCCAAAACCCCTTGATCCCGGCACTTCGATCTTCATCCCTGGTATGAATTCGCAATCTTCGGGGTCAATCCTGACCTTAGGGTCCGTTGATATTGTTGCTGCCAATACGACTTTCTACGTCTCGTTTTTCAGTCTTCTCTTATTGTGGCATCTCAGTTGCTTTTTTTGGCGGTTACTTATGATCATGGCTGCTTCTTACATGTTGCTGCTATTCACTCATCTTGTTTACGGAATTCGGTTGTTATTATCGGCAGCAAGCCCCCGTAAACACCCTTAACCCTAAACTCTCAACCCTATAAGGTTTTAAACCTCAAAAGCCCTGAAGCTTATGGCGCCTGATATTCCAGCTCCGCTGCCAGATCCTCGAAAGCAGCTGCGCTGAGGGTTGAGGGTTTATGGCTAAACCCAAAACCCTAAACCCTGAACCCTAAACCTTAAGCTTAGCCCTAAACCCTTTACAGCACATTGAACCCGGGGTTGAAGACGTGGAAGACACAAAGATTGCTTCATTTAAGTTTTTGGCTGCGTTGGAGGCTGATAGGGTTTTCTGGGGTGGGTTTCGGTTCAGGGTTTGGGAGCTCAGGTCTTTCCGCTTCTGCGCATTGCGCTCCGCACTTTTCAAGGAAGGATATCCTGGCTCAAGGTTTAGGGCTTAGGTGTAAGGGCTTAGGGTGTACTCATGTCTAGTACCCGAAACAGCATAGGCACCAAGCCCTATATCCTGATTCTGGGTATACGATTCCTCGCGGCAACCTGCCAAAAAAATGGCTTGGGTGTTCACACTGCGCGGGACCCAAGAAAAGCCGCGCAGTCTTCACAAACTCTGCCCAATGATCTTGAAAAGAAGGTTTTAGCTATTTGGACTGCGCCCTACATTACGACCGCGGAGACGGCAGCCACGTGACTTGGGTCGAAGGGCGACCAAGCGACAATATTTATCTGCACATTCCGCATGCTCTGCGGCCAAGCCGCACCCTAGCCCGAAACCCCAAACCCTAAACCCTAAACTCTAGACCCTAAACCCTAAACCCTAAGCCCTAAGCCCTAAACCCTAAACCCTAAGCCCTAAGCCCTAAACCCCAAGAAAGTGGGGGGGGGGGGGGCAGCTGAGCTCCAGGCATCTGCACTGCGCGGCCCGTGCGAGGAGACCTTCTGGGTCCTTGGAGTTCGGAACCGTTAGGGTTTAGGGTTTAGGGTTTAGGGTTTAGGGTTTAGGGTTTAGGGTTTAGGGTTTAGGGTGTAGGGTGTAGGGTGTAGGATGTAGGGTTTAGGGTTAGGTTCCTATTCATAGGGTTAAAAGAGTTCATGAGGTTCAGCTGGTGTTCATAAGGCTTATAGGGTTCGACGCGTGCACAGGGTTTAAGGTTTGGAGCTTACGTTCAGGGCAAAGCGGTTTAGGGGTTCAGGGCTCATCGGGTTCATGGGGGTTTAAAAGTTTAGGCTTCAAAGCACAACTATACTGAACTTGGACCCCTAGCAAAAATTAGATCTTTAGCTGTTTCTTTGGAACTAAAGTGCCTAACTTAAAATCACATCCAAGTAGGACCCCTAGCAACAAGTAGATCTTTAGCTGCTTCTTTGGAATCAAAGTGCCTAAATCAAAATCACATCCAAGTACCCCTAAACCCCTAACCCCTAACCCCTAAACCCTAAACCCCCTAGGTTTAGGGTTCAGGGCACAAAGGTTCACAGTGGTTAGACCTCTAAGGTTCAGGCATCGGAGGCTCTACGGAGGCCTGACTCAGATTAGTTGGGAGGGTTGAGTGGGTTTGGGGTTTGGGGTTTGGGGTTTAGGGTTTTGGGTTTAGGGTTTAGGGTTTAAGGGTCCAAGTTGAGGGAGCACTTATCCCCAGATGACAAAGCCCTAAACTAAGACTCTGAAGTCTCTTGCAACTGAGGCCCTCAACAGTAAAGGCGCTAGACTTTCTGCTTCAAGGGTGCTCAGCTCAATTGTTGAAACGAGCTCAGCGGGCCTTCGGAGAAGACTCTGAATTTGAGCCACGGGTTTCGGGCTTAGGAACCCGAGGCCTCAAACTATGTAAGCCCCAAGCCCGGGTTTAGGGCTTAGGGTTTGGGGTGTAGGGTTTAGGGTTTAGGGTTTGGGGTTTAGGGTTTAGGGTTTAGGGTTTAGGGTTTAGGGTTTAGGGTTTAGGGTTTAGGGACCCGAAACGACCCTCAGCCCCTGCCACAAGCTCCACGAAGGCAACACTTTTGACCCACCCAGGAGACGCTGCATGGCCGGCTGATCTTTAATCAGCCGCCCACTCTGACTGTGCGACGCCACATCCCAGAGCCCCTAAAGGGGGATCCGAAGTCTGGGCCCTAAACCCTAAACCCTAAACCCTAAGCCCTAAACCCTAAGCCCTTATGCACACTATAGAAAGTAAGGGCCCATGCCTCGGGTCCCTATAAACAAGGGTAAGGGACCATACTAAGGGCCCGTGGTTCCAACCCTAGAATGAAACCCGAAACGTTCGGGGTGAGGGTCTAGGGCGAATCCTACGTCTCAAAGCCCGAGCCCCTACACGCCCTGTTAAGGAGCCTTTCTACCACAGCAGTTTAGGGTTTAGGGTTCAGGGTTTAGGGTCGACTGGAGAGACCTCGTACATAGGTTCCCCCTTTGAGCTGCCTGCTTTCATAAATTATGGTTCGCATGGTACCCAGCAGGAACTAGTACACGGTGCCCTAAGTGGGTCCTAAAACCCTAAACCCTAAACCCTAAACCCTAAACCTTAAACCCTAAACCCTAAGCCCCAAAGGGGGCCTCTTGGGCTCCCTCTTCACGACAAGTCTCCTCGCGAGAGAATGCCTCGAAGCATGTGGGAAATGGCGCCTTCAGCACTCTAAAGCGTCTGACGGGAGTGTCCTCTCTGACAACACCAGAAGGCCACTCCCGTGAACTATCAAGGGTTTAGGGTTAAGGGTTTAGGGCTTAGGGGCATCATGAGGGGGACTTGCTCATGTCGAACAGCTCCCCTCCTCCCCCCCCCCCCCACCACCCCACGTCGATGCTACACCTCCAGGACTTCTGGAACGGCTAAAACCGCCCATGTCCGACCGCCGGGGTGTTGGTCCAGCTGCCAGACCAGAAAGTTGCAGAGTTGGCGGTTGACGGTTAGAAAAGGGGGAATGAAGAGTTAGAATACGGTTGTTGGGGGTCATGAAGGTATCATTGCAAAGGGACCATAAGGGCATATTATTAGTAACTATTCCGACCCATTTGTATTACACCTTAGACGGTTACTAAACCTTGTCGGCAAGCAGCTCTTCAAAGTACTTGATTTAGCACACTGTGCTTCAGACGGCCCAAGATTGCGCATGACATGACTGGAGCTGAACTGAGTAGGAAGATACGACATGTAACAAGCAACAAGAAACCCAGGCTTAGCATCCCTCATTCCTCAACCCTAAGCCGCAAAATTACAGGAGCCCTGCTTCTGAGGTCGGCGCGAACCAAGACCAGAACGAATTAGGTGCGGCGATTACAGGAGCCTGAACAACTGTCAATGTTACCCCTCCTAATCCCTCTGAAGCCATACATACCATCCCCTCAATCCAACCCTCAACCGAGAAAGAGAGAGAGAGAGAGAGAGAGAGAGGGAGAGGGAGAGGGAGAGGGCGAGAGGTCTCCAAAAGGACCTACCTTTCTTGGACTTTAGGGTTTAGGGTTTAGGGGCAAATTCACTTTCTACGTATCTAGGCGCATGGTCCCAGACTCCAAGCCCCGGATGCCTGGGAGGATCTCAAGAGTAGAATTCCCCAAATAGTACCCCAGACTGCTATTGGGTCTAGGAACCCTTAAAGGCATCTACTTTTCGGATCCTCCCAGCGGTCCGGGAGCCTCTGCATGCTTGATCCAGCAGCTGGCGCAAGCCAAGATCTTACCGCAAGATGTAAGAGGGTGCTCTTTTTGGTTTGAAGGGGCTTCTAAGGGAACCTACAAGCCCTAAAGCGGGAATAAACCCTAAACCCTAAACCCTAAACCCTAAACCCTAAACCCTAAACCCTAAACCCTAAACCCTAAACCCTAAACCCTAAACCCGAAGAAAGAGGAATAAGGTGCCCACTCTGGGGTCCTCTAAAGAGTGGGCGCGGCATTCAGCGGCGCCCACGGGAAAACCAGCAAAAAATCCGCAACTCAAGGGGCTAAAGGAGGGACCCTTGAGGTATATAGTGAATGTATAAGGTATATATATATATATATAGATATGTATATATAGTTGCCCCTATATATATATATATATTTATATAGTGAATGTTTTTTCAGGTATATATATATATAGAGGGGCTATATGGGTGCGTGTCAAAAGTATGATCCCTTTTAGGGTACCCTAAATATTCGGTGCCGCAATAGAATAGGGATCCAAAAAGGGACCATAACTTTTGACAGCCACCCATACAGGGGAACAAAATTGAAGGTCCCTTCCAGGGCCCTAAACCCTAAACCCTAAACTCTAAACCCTAAACCCTAAACCCTAAACCTAAACCCACCCTCCTTATACCCCTTGAGCAGAAGGTTGAATTCATGGCACCTCTGGAGCTCGACCTCCGCAGAAAGAGAACCCACGAGGAGGGTTTAGGGTTTAGGGTTTAGGGTTAGGGTTTGAAAGACAAGCCCCAAAAACCCCCCCAGGCCAGCAAGTTCTACACCCCAAGAGGTGAAACTAGACCCAGAGGTCAGCGCCCAGAGTGCATCTCGATATGACGAGTTGCACGGTCCCTTAGGACCCGCGGGATCCTTTAGGATCCGCTTATGGCTAGGGCTTAGCTCCTTTGCAGGGTTCCACGTATAGGCCCTTAATTTGGGTCTCTTGTGCTTTCTAACCCTTATACACACTCTACATCATAAGGGCCCCAGCCTTCGGATCCCGAGATCCTTAAGGTGTAGTAGGGCTTAGGGCTCCCTACCCCGCAGCTTCGCCGGCGTCAGCAGCACAATGTCCTGGAAACACGGCGAGGTGAGGGGTGCTTTGTGTTCCTTAAGGGCGAAACCCTACACTACGACCACCCTAAACCCTAAGCCGGGCAAAGTCTACTGTCCAGCTTCCTCTCCATGCAAATGGTTCTCCTGGGGCTCTCTGGGGTTTTGCTACCCCACACTCGACTGTCGTTCGTACAAAGCTCAAGGTACTCTAGACTTAAAAATGCTAACTTCTCTAGACTTAGACCCTAAACCCCACGTCACAAACCCCTACTCCCTTACCTCCTTTTGGGTGATCAGTGTCCGGGCTTGGGGCCCTGGGGCGTGTAAACCGTAAACACTATAGTTCAAGATGCAGGGTTTAGGATTTAGGGAACACAATGCACACCCCGGAAAACCAAAGAATCGTAGCCCCACGCCCTTACAAACCTCGCAAACCTGAAAGCCCAGCCAGAGTCGGCATTTCTTCTGGCTACGCAACAATGCATGAGGGTTTAGCAAAGGCATCTGGGGAACACTGGGACTACCCGAACCTTTTTCGTCTTCGCCTCCTGCACTATCCGCCAAGCCCCGGAACCCTAAACCCTAAATCCCAAACCCTACATTTTCCCCAACAACTGCTCCTCCGGATCATCGGTTTTGAGCGCGCGAGCCTTCTGACTTGCGTTGACCGGGGGGTGTCGGGTGCAGGTGAAGGGTGGTAAGGGGGGGCCTCAGGCTTGGGCTTCGGGTTTCGGGTTTGGGGGTTCCGGGTTTCAAAACGCTTCTTAGTGAGCCCTGTGGTTTAACCGGAGCCCTAGATCCATGGAGAGTTGCCATTGCGGTCCCCAAGTTACTGGTGACTTCGAGGGAGCGCAATACCAAGTGAGGAATGTGTCTGAAGCAACGTAGGGATCTGGTGACTTGCAGGGAGCACAATACACCTAAAGCAAGGAATATGTCTTAAACAATGTAGGGATCCTTAGTATGATTTAAGGCATACTCATTGAATCCAGGGTGTCGGGCTCTCTGCGTCAGAAAGACACTGGTAAAGGGGCCGACCGAATTTGGATTTGCATTCGCAGCCCTGAACGGTGGACCCGACCCTGGAGCCTAAGCCCTGAACCCTGAACCCAGCCCTATATCCCGAAGGGCCTCGCCGGCTTCGGCTTTTGGACAGAAGGCAGCGGCGCGCTTCCTTCTGGCTCCAACAAAGGCCACCGCCAGTCCGACACACCTGTGCGAAAGTTTCAGCAATG